ATATAACTAATACTGATTTGAGCTAGAAAATATTTTGGTAATCAAATTTTATTTGAAATTTAAATTTTGATAATAAACAATACATTCCAAACCGTAAAATTATATCCACAAATTTTAAATTACTTTTCAATTACTCACTTATCGAAAAGGCGTTATGATGTAGTTAAACATTATACCTATTTTTATGTGTATAAATTTATAAAGTTACTTCCTAAATGAAAAATAAATTCTTTCGGTTTTAAACCTTTTTTTATTGGATTGCTAAAAATATGAAAAGAAAACTTAAAGGCTAATTGAAGAATTTTTATTAAGCCTATCATTATTTCCACTTAGGTCGGTCCCTATTAGAGCGTTCTCTCGATTTAGGAGAGTAATAGTTAGAGAATTTGGACTGTGGCCAACCTACAAGCCCTCTATCTGTGCTGCACTGAAAATTGTGGGTGCTTTTTTACGCGTGGCACACACAGTTGTCCAACAGCGGGGCATGCAGCAAGTGGCAGAGGACCACCAGGCGTATGAGTTCTCCTCAGAAGGCCTCCTCCAGCCACGCTGCAACTCCGCACATTCGGCCGACTGCCGACTGGTTTGTTTAGAATTTTAGATTTTAGCGCGTTTTAGAATTTTATGAATGAATTTTTGGCGCTCGGCAGAGCTCCGCCTGACGGGCAGTGCTCCCCTTTTCCACACCCACTTCAAATTGTTAGACCACTCCGATTCGTTTGGCTCGATTCACTTTTAGTTTTTGGTTAGTTTTCGGTTCCCCATTTATTTTTGGGGGGTGTCGTTGTGACCTTGCCGGGGTGTTGCCGTGTTGTTTAGATTTAGTTTCTATTGGGCTGCACTTCAGCTGGTTCCTTTTTGCATTTGGCACAAATCTGTGCATATACACGTGTTGGGCCCTTAGACAAAAGTCGGTCCTGTGCACTTTTTTATTTCTTGCATAGGGTATTGATTTTATGGTAGTGGCTTCGCAAAACAAGTTAGGCATTCAAAATTAATTCAGTTTAATGTTGTACAACAATAACAGAGCAATATTAAACATATTAAACAAAAATATAATGATTTTAACCAATTAACTTGATCTCGATAATAGTGACAAAGTAATATATTGCTACCAATTCTTATCGTTGGTTGGAGTAACATTTTTGAGTCACGCCGAACTAGGCGATATCAAAATAGGCTTGTAATATAAAATCGGACTTCCCATTTTTGAAAATATCACGGGATGTTTCAAGTACAAGTGATTTATAAAAGACTTGTGTTAAACAAGTTCTGGCTAACCCGCTCTATGAAATTGACTTGAATATGTTTAATCCTATGACAAATCACTCGGTCCTTTCGTCTGTATAACATTACTGTTGCAATGGTTTTATGATATAAAGAGGCAGAGGCAGGAGAAGCTCCTTGAGAAAAATAAATCAATTTTTGAATTTAATTTCTTGCATATAAGTACTTATGTACAGGAATTATGTATACATGTATCATCCTGACTAATATCCAACATATCCCATACCCATCAACAACTCGAATCAAACGAAATGATTTGTGGACCACCCTTTAAGCTAAACAAAGAGTGCTTTTTGTGCACAGCCATATAAATCACATAAATACATAAGAGCACTTATGTAAACTCTTATATACTGCAGTACTTTAATAGGTTTTGTTAGATCTGATGCAGGCAAAAATGCCTATTAAAAATGCGTTTGAAAAAAACTGTTGCATACCTGACGTCGCGCGCTCGAATTAACTAACGGGACATTGAAAATTGCACCGAGAGCACGGAGCAGGAGAGAGTCGAATGTGAGAGAGCACAGCATCCTAGTGTGGGAGAGAGCAAGCCGAAGTGCGTCGAAGTTTTACGAAGTGCGATGAGTAGTTACGGCACTAACTGTAAGGACACTAAGGGGGGACACGAAGAGAGCACTCGGCACTAAGCCGGCGAGAGAACAAATACAAAAGCGAAAGCGAGGAGCCGGCATAGGTGCTCCTGTGTGCGTGTGTGTTTCGTGAGAGGGAGGTGTGCTATTCGTGTGCGTGTGCACGTATATTCGCACAGAAGTGTGCGTGCGTGTGTGTCGCTTTGTCGGCAATTTAAAGAGTAAATAATTGTCTGCCGCCGGCAAACATTTGGCCAAACTGCTAGTCCGCAGAATGTGCCACTGTATTGGTATCGCCTGCCACTTTCGGCATCAGTATTGGTGCCGAGTATCGGCTCTTCGTCACCAAACTCTACACAATTTTAGGCGCCGGACGAACGCACTTTCAATCAGTTAACTTTATAACGTCAGTGCCGACACTACGTCATCCGGTCGAATCGTATCGAATCGAATCGAATCCGGCGTTACGCCCCCCAAAAAACAAAATTTCTGCACTTGTATTTGTTGCCGCGCTGCGATTTTCGTCGCGTTTTTACTTTCACGCGACCAATTCGCTCAACGTCAACAAAATCGCGTGAAAACGTGTGTCTGCCAAGTGTTTTGCAACCTGTATTTAGCATGTTTTCATCGTGATTTTACCCCAAGAGCCGGCAAATGTGAATGAAGCGCTGAGCAATTGAAAACCTGTGAGTATATAGCACTTTTGGGTATATGCAAATCACTCAAGGGAAGTTAATCGAGCAATTAGTACTGTTCTGGGGCGCACAAAAGTATGCTATATTTTGTTAAATGTCTAGGTTAACTGAAGAGATTCGAGATAGTTTTTTTAACGGGATAAAACACTATAATAATGAAACATAAATTAAAGTATTATCTGTGCTCAAAAGTTATTGCTAAAGAGTGTCTAAAATATTAAAATGTATTTCAACCGCTTTGATTCTATCGCAAGTAAGAGATGAGGGAGATAAATCCTTAAAAATAAATAAAATATTGTAGTCAGAACACCTCCTAACAAGGTTGGCAAATGGTTAAAATCGACACTTCGACTTTTAAAATTCCTTATATCAAAGTTCGTGACTTACAATGTTCTTAATTATAGGGCTGCATGAAAATGTTTAATTTTATTGCTTATAACTTTAATTAGGATGTTTTACTGGTAACGATTTTGTTTCATTTTTGTCCTCAATAAATTTGCCCGGCTTTCAAAAAATTATAATTTAAATTGTTTAAAATGTTTAAGAGCGGTGTTAAATTCCTTATTACAACTTTTTGTGAAAAGTTTAAGGGATGTCAGATAGTGTAAAGAAAACAAACTGATTCTTATATGTAGGTATATTTTTCGTACCTTAAAGTCTGAGAAACTTCTTAAATCAGACAACGCACTTTCGGCTAAATGCCGGCCACTTAATTCGCACACAATCGGGTAATAAATCAGCATTTAATGTGCCTGCATCGAAATGCGGACTCAGCCGACATAACGTCATCGACATCATGTGACCGCGTTTCCGAATTTCCCCGAAACTTGTGTACGTGCGTTGTGTGTCGGCCCCGAAATACAAAATACAAAATACGGAATACAAAATGCACGGCGCAGCACAGACGACGACGGGTCATGGCCACGGCCACGGCCACGAATATGGCATTTCGGCGACTCCGGCTACGGATACAACAACGACTCCGGCTCTGCCGTGCGTCGCCGTTTCGCAGTTTCACTTTCACGGCGCAAACACAGCTGCGAGGGCGGCGGAGATCTGTGCCGAGGGAGTTATGGGCGTTGCGGGCGCGACTTGCACTCAGCCTCATAGTTCGTCTTTCCCAAATCGACGGGTGCATGGCAACGGACACGGATGGGGATAGGGACACGGATACGGACAGGGTTATGGCCCACACGAACTGCCAATGACAATGTCGCACAGTGGAAAGAACATAATGGGAAGAAAAAAAAATTGTTTACATTTTAAAAATTCATATAAATATTTTTGTAAGTTCGATACAATTATAATTCATTCAGTACATCATTAGTAATTTTGCTAGCGATAAGCTTTTAATTTAAAATTATTAAATTACCGCCATAGCTTTTAATGTACTATTTTTTTATTTAATAAAATCGTTTTTTTTCAGGCTATAAAAATATATAGATATTGGACATTTATAATGAAAAACAAAAGCTTTTTTTATATTTTGTCGGCCCTTATAAATTCTGCGTATTAGTAATATTAAGTATACGTAAATTTGAGTATCAGTCAAAAAGTATGCAATGTTTTTTTCTTTTTACTATAAGAAATTTGAAAATAATTTTTCCTATAAATATCATTTATAAATGAGTTTATAGAGTTCCGTTCCGTTGTCACCCACTTGTAACACATTCTGCACTTTCCGCTTGAAGAAAGGGGAACCGATTGTTATGGAATTGGGCGGCGGAACGGAAATGAGAACGAGATTGTTGACGCTTTGACCGGCAGAGCACTTGCCGCATGCTCGTTGCTGCCAATACCCCGCCGCCATAACAACCACGACGACGATGACGATGGTGATGCAATGGCTGAAAGCCAGAAGTGCCCACGCACCATCACTGCATCACACCCCATCCGCCACATGCGCATCGGAGAGTTGCACTTGCCGAGAGCCTCCCCATGAATCCCATGAACCACATCCTATACCCACCATACACCTTCCCAGCTGCCTCTTTCCGCCGACACTCTCACTCTCCGATTCAGAAATGTGTGAGTTCTCGGTGTTTACTCGCCGCCGATTGCAGCGTAGCCAAGTGCACTGTGAAAAATCTTTAGTACTAACTAATAAGTCATATCAAATATATGTTTTAAATATTTTGAAGGTTTTCTTAGATTTGTTACCGCTATAATAGTAGAGTTTGTTAGATCATATTTTAAATATTGTTTAGTTTATCATCATAAAAGATTTAAATCTTTCTTAATATCTGCATAAAATCTGTTATAGCCCTAATAAATTCCAAAACTCAGTTCTATAATAACTACAAAAGATTTAAGGCTCGAAATCCTTTAAGTCTTAAAATTACGTCTTTCTGATTATAGAATCAGCTTTACAAATTATAGGGATCTAAAGACCCACCGATATTTTCGCTACGTGTAGGATTGAGTGCAGTTACCTCTGCTTCTGGAGATGGGAGATGGTTGGGAGTGCTTGTCTGTGGCTCTGGGGAAGCCGGCCTTCTGTGGTAGGCCGTTTGCCGGGAGCATCGCATCGCATCGCTACGTCATCGCCATCGCCATCGTCATCGCCACCGCCACCGTGCCGGAATTCGTGTGCGTGGCCTGATTTCGTCGATTGGCCTTGTGCGGGTTTCAGTGTCAGGAGCGCAGCATCTTTGTTTTGGTTGCAATTGTTGTTGCCGGGGCTGCTGCTCGACTTGGCTTGCTGCATATATGCAAATCACGCATACACACGAAGTGCAGTTCTTTGGAACGGGAGGTCCTGTATGCGGGCGCAGGTCCTTTATGATGTGTTAGATGGCCAAGTAAACAGAGTTCAAAACTGGGTTGTAAGTGGTTCAAGTTTAAAAGCTTTAATATTTTTCCTAACACTTTTTTTTTTAAATTAATGGTACATATTTTTTACATCGCACTTACCATCGAAAAAATATTTAAGGCCAGAATAACGAATTTTATGTAGAAAAAATTCTTACAAATATAAAAAGTTTACCAAAAAATAACTCCTGAAGGTTATTTCATCAGTACTGTAACTGTAAACTATAATCGTATTAGCAACGCTGATTTATTCGGTAAAAAATTAGCCCTAATTGGTTTTAGTATTGCGATGGACGTTAACTTGCTGGTAATGTGCGTTTTGTTAGTCGGACCAGTTTTCGGGCGAAAAAGTTTTGGCAATGGTGACCTACTTGATCCCTATAAAGAATAAAGCAAACTGCTTGACTTATCTTGGATATCCTTAGATAATCACTACCAAGTTGTGGGCGTAGATTGTGAGGAAAATGAGGCAGTCAGTTGCATGATGATTAATTGCCAGAACGGTGCTTTTTGTCCAGCGGAGAATTTTTGTTTTAATCCAAAGTGCGTCTGCCGCAAAGGATTTCGCCGTCGTCACGGTGTCTGTGTGCCGAAGCACGATTCTTTGCATCTGAACAAAGCTACTTTGGAGACGGCTCTGCTGAGAATTCCCTACTCACACTTTTGATCGTACTTAAATTCTTTTTTATTAGATAAATACATTTTAAAATTTGTAAAAATATGTATACGTTTTTTTTGTGTTAAATAATGAATTAAAATTAATTTTAAAATTCACAATTCACTGGTAAATTTATTATAAATATTAACCAAGAAAAAAAAGCTAAAATATTAAATTTGAAAACAGTTTTTACATTCTAAATGTTATTTCATAGATTATAATAATTATTTAAAATATTTAATATAGTTAGATGTGTTTCTCAATTTGAATTTTGATATATATATCTGTGCAAATCCGGCCAACAGCTATGTTTTGCCCATCTCTTTTCAAAATGGCAAACAAAGTGTATTTGTATTTTTTCCAGCCACTTCGAGAGAGCCTCGATTGTTGGCTCTCGCTGTTTATTCTCGCTCCGCTCTCTGCCCGAGCACGAGTGTAGTTAGACCAACTAATGCGAATTGGGTGGAATGGTGGAATGGGGGGTCTATTGTGGCCATGCCGGCTGCTAAAAAGCCTCGGCTCTCGGCTTTTTGTCTCGTGGCGGCGGAGAGAAAAGTCGGAATACTATATCGACGGGCTGGTAGTCAGTAGTGAAGCTACGCCACACGCCGCCAGGTGGCTCCGTTTGTGGATGCGGCGGGTGTTGCTATCGCATGTGCATGTGCATGTGCACCTCAGACATTGAACGGTACGAAAGGCCCCCGAGAAACACAGCCGAAAACCCCCCGAAAAACCCCCGACCGGAAACCCACACAATACATACTGCTTTTTTTTGGACGTATTTTTCGCCGCGGAGGAGGTGACCTCCAGAATGGCCTGGCAATGCAATTGGCTGCACTTTTCCTTTGTGAGCCCGCCTTGCGTTTTATTGTGTCACGGGTTCGCGCGCAGATGGAAAAAAGAAAATAAACGACCACGGTGTTTTTCCAAGTGAAAGTCTGTTTATCAACCGGCGAACTAAGAAATGACACTCTTATATTAACAGTATCGCGATGAGAACCGAAATATGTGTGCTCAATTAGAAACGACACTAATTTGCGTGCTTAGTGAAAATCGATATGGCGCAGCCTTTGACTTTTGGCACTTGCGAGTCAGTTTAGAAGGTCCAACACTGCGTATGCGTTATATTTTGGTGTTAATTTCTGCTTTTCTTATCTTAAATACATTTTGTGAATCGAAAAATCAACGCACTGTCGGTTTGGGTCAGCCCTAACCTAATCTTAATGTTCCGACACACTAAATCGCCAAATAGAGTGGGTCGTCATCGCCGAAACCCCCTTTAATATCATCCCCTCCTCGATTTTTATTGCTCCTACCTCCCTGCCTCCCTCTTTCTTTCTCTCTCGCTCTCGCGCTTTCTCGCCCAGCGCGCAGGATTCGCGCTCTTTTTTATCGTCACCTCTACAAATGCATAGTGGGCGGTGGGTGGTTGCTTAGACGAAAGTGTGTGTTTGTGTGTGTGAGTCCTACGATTCGGCAAGTCAGCTAAAATAACAACAACTGCAGCGGTGTTTTCACTTTCCATTCGAAAGCCTTCTAAGCTTAAATTGTGCTGCAGTTTTTAGCCAACGTTGGTTGGTCTATTTTCGGGAAGTCCACGGATTTAGGCGTTTTGGGTTATTTTTATGGGGCTAGACACATGACTAAAATCGGTTTGGGATTATATATATTCTATTATATTTTATATCATATTATATACCTTAAAAGTAAATGGATTATATATATTATATACCTTAAAAGGTATACAACTTTCTGTTCTATTATATTTGTCCACATCTACAAAGTACTTTGATCTGTGTTGATTTTATCTGTAAGGAATAACCTTAAAAACATTGGTTCGATTTTCATAAAAGCGAAAATAAAGATCTTTTATAATCTGTTGTTATATGTAGTGTCTTCAATAATCTTAAAAATGGTTTACCTGTTTTAAGTTCTCAACAAATATTTAGAATATTATAGAGGATCCAAAGAGAGATGTTTCAATCACCGTAACTTGAATCCCTTTTCTAGTTTTCTTCATATAACTTTCGATTTAATCTCTCCTTTCAGTAGGCTGACTCTTAACGCACAAGAGATCCCATAAAATCCCCCAGGATCCCCTAGCTGACAAACGAACGCACAATGAACTTCACCCCGTTCGGCAACACCTTTCCCGGAAATATTCCCGGCCTGCCGCAGTTCACGACGAGCACGGCGCCCCTGGTTTCCACGGTGACTGCGGCGGTGACGGATGTGACCGTGACTGCCACCAACAATCCGCAGCAGCAACAGCAGCAAGATGCCGCCGGCAGCAGCAATCGCTACCAGCAGCAACAGGTAGCGCATTTCCAGGCCAACATGACAGCGGGCCAGGGAACCAGTGGCAGTAACAAGTTCCGTGGCGGTCAGGACGATGGTATCCAGGGTGATAAGTACAATGGCCACTTGGTGGCTTCCTCCCAGCAACAGCAGCAGCAGCAACAGCAGCAGCAGCAGACGCAATATGCAACTGTTGCGTATGCAAGCGCAACAGCTACGAGTGCCGCAGCGGATGCCCTGCAGGCGGGAACTTCCGGCCAGCAGCAACAGCAGCAGATGCAACAGCAACAGGTCACCGCCCCACAGGAACTCACCCAAGATCTGTGCAACGCCATCCTGCAGCAACAAGGTGAGAGGGAAATAAGAAAATGCGATTTAAAAAAAAGGAAATTGGTTTAAACTAAAGTAAAATAACTTTGAAATATATAAATTTTCTAAAGGTGTGAAAAATCGCTAGTTTCTAGTTTCAATAGAAAGAAATTATATATAAATAATTTGTTATTTTTTCTCTAATAGTACTCCAGAATACCTCGTGGCAAACGCTGACGCCGGGAACCACCGTCGCCGACTACCTCTCGCATCTTCCAGCCAACACGTTGCCCCTGTCGCTGCACCACTTCCTCAAGTATTCCGCGGAGACGATCAAGAAGGAGAACCAGCAGAATGTGGTAAGTAAGCAGGAAACTTAAATTTAGGATGGGATATAGTAATTCACATAATTTGGCCATTTATTAAAGTTTTGCAAAATCTTACATATAAAATATATATTAATCAGATACCTACCGAAAATCACTGTTTGATATTTCAAATTGAAATTTTCAATTCTTAAAGGCCACTATGATTAATACATCTATGTAACGTAAAAAATTCTTAAGTCTTATTCGCTTTGAATCTCCATTTTAAAATGTGTTTGAGATAAAGGACCTCAAAGTTGGAAACATTTTTTTTTCAATTTTTTTGTAGAACTTTACAGGCGAACTGATTCTTAATTTGTTAGACAGTCAAAAGTCAAACGTTGCAAGTTTTAATCCTCCGAAATCCAAACTAAAAATATTGTTACGATTTTTTTTAACGGAGTTATAAACGAAACAAGACATATACCTAGATTACCCTTAAAATCTCTTAAAGGAGTTATTTTTCTAAAACATTGACATCCGCTTCCAGGTACTGCAGGTGCAGACGGGACCAGCCATTGGGATCAACACCCTGGGCACGACAACCATTAGTATACCTCAGCAGGAGCAGCTGACGCTGCAGCCGCAGCAGCAGCAGCAGACGACGTTGCAGGTGCAGACGCAGGCGGCGGTCACGGCGACGGCGACGACGGCGGCAGCGACGACGACCGCCGGAACTTCCGGCAAGAAGAAGAAGCGCAAAAAGCGGAGCAAGGACCGGAAGCCGAAGCTGCGACCGGGGGAGATTCGTCTGGGAACGGCACTCGACGGCAGCCCGCTGTACATGTGTCCCGAATGCCATGTGGCCTATCCGGAACCGGAGCTGCTGGAGGTGCACCTGGTGGGCCACAACCTGGAGAAGCGGTACGTCTGCGACATCTGCCAGGCGTCGCTGAAGCGCAAGGATCACCTCACCCGCCACAAACAGTCGCACAATCCGGAGAGACCCTACATCTGCACCGTCTGCCTGAAGGCCTTCAAGCGGAAGGAGCAGCTGAGCCTGCACTTCGTGATCCACTCGGGGGAGAAGCGGCACCAGTGCGGCGAGTGCGGAAAGGGCTTCTACCGCAAGGATCACCTGCGCAAACACACCCGCTCCCATATCGCCCGCCGGGTCAAGGCCGAGCTAAATAGCCATGTGCGACGCGAAAATGGAACCAGCATGCTGCAACCGGTGGTCACGGAGGCAACTACGGCGGCCCTGCAGCACGCCAATCAACTGGCCACCGCGCAGCAACAGCTGCAACAGCAGCAGCAGCAACAACAGCAGCAACAACAGCAGCAGCAACATCACATTGTGATCACCCAGCAGCAACAAGCACCGCAGCAGCAGCAACAGACTACGCAGCAGCAACAGCAGCAAATGATAAATTAGCCAAATGATTTTTGTAAAGTCAGTTAAAGCAAAATTCAATTTAGTCTCATCTAGGCCCTCAAGGGCTTGGCTGCTCAAAAACAAAACTCTCTCGGTCCACACAATTTAATTGACTCTCACAAATCGGATAATACAAACTGGAGGATGTTAGCTAATGTCTTCGAGGATTTCCCCATGGGAATATTCTCAACGTTGTACAAGTTTAATCGTAAGTTCGCGATGATGTTGGGGACCTTCCACAATCGAAAGCACTCTCACTGGGATAAAGCTAAAGGGATTTTGATCTTCCGGATATTGTTCTACCTGAATTTCATTTTACTTCCTAAATTTAGTGGAATTTAATTGATATCTTAAGATTATAAAATCTAATAAATGTCTGAAGTTTTTATTTTTTTATATCTGGTTAAATCACGATTTAGTTAATTTAGATCTGTTGAACGGAAAACTTTAAGAATTACAAAATAAATAATATAAAAGTATTCGAATAAACGGAATTTAAATTTGTGTTAGTAACGAGAACGAAAGCAACGAAACTTAAAATAATCAAATTCAATCCATTAAAAAAAAAAAATTTAAATATGTATAATTTACTATAATTAATTTATTATGTTATGTTAACAGTGCACTACCATTTCAATAGATAAATATTATCCCCGAGTGGTCGGTCCCAGGCCTTTGTCCGCCCTAACATTCCATACTCTAATTTAAGACAAATGTGCAAAGGAATAATAATTTTATACGCAATGTATTTTAGTGAAATGTATTTTTCTACAATTAGAATCAATGTTGTATGGTATGTCTGTCCATATGTACATACACCTGTACGAATACATGAATACTGTTCACTGGCAGCGAACTATATATTTATATAATATGTAAACAAATGCAATTTACATTTACACTTAACTGTAGGAACGAATCTTAAAATGTGAATGTACGTATAACTTTTTGCTACACCGATAAATCAACCACAAATCCTTGTAAATATGCAGTAAATTATATAATTTGATCTAAACCGAAGTAAAACAATTGTATGTTCCGTATAAAAAGTTATTTCAACAGGGGAAAAAAGGGAGTGGGGGTAGCTCGGGTTTTCAATTGATCCACAGTGCTACCTGTTTGCTTATGAAAAAAAAGTCCACCTATATATATCAACAAATTAACATTTTTAGGGTTATTTATTTGCTTTATTTACTCATAAATTACGATTATTATGCACCATTTATTGTAGTCAATTAAATAATTAATCAATAGCATTATCCGTATTATTATCTGTATTCTGTATATGTATCTGTATGTCTGTGTATTGGTTTTATATTGTTTATTTATGTACGAGCAGGTTTGATTTACCGTCCATTGCATGCATACTTTACTAAGCTTAATATTATGATGTATTACAAAGTAGGCATTAATTTAATGGGAAAAGGAACGTGGCATGGAGGGTATATTTATTCATGGTATAAGAGCGGACAGGTTAGGGCTTAACAAAATTTGTGCTTTATACACGTTCAAATCAAAAAAAATTCCATAACTATCCTTTCAAGGATTTTTAATTTGGGTTCTAATGATTACACGAGGAGGAGGCCTTATTAAAAAATATATGTTTATAATATTTATAAGGATAGTGTTATGTGAGAGTGTAAATGTGTAAAAGCGGGAGTGCTTCGATTACCATTGCACAAATTGCAAAGTTCGTTTTACACCCACCTATCAACATTCAAGATCGTAGATAATTTCTGCGTATTAATTTTGTTTTTTGGTAAGATTTGTGTTTTGCTTTCGTTGCGGAAAGAACTGCTTAATCACTGTACAAAGAACGTAGCGTGACTACGGTCCGCAGAGAAACTTTCGCTTCTGGTCCTCCATGTAGTCGCGTGTGGACATCTGGATGGCCTGCTGCAGCATCTCGCTCTCGTTGACTCCTGTCGGAAGTAAAAAGGGATATACATAAAAAGGAAAGAAAAGAGGAAGCAGGACTCACCCTCATCGGCGTAGGATGCCTCCAGCAACTCCTGGTAGAAGTTGGAGTAACTCTGCTCCTTGGCGTCCCCGCTCTTCTGTGGCGAAGACGACTGCTTCGACGTGCAGGGCCGCTGCTCAGCCTCAGGCGTATCGGCACGGGCCACAGACGGCGCGGAATCACGCTTCGGACTCTTCCTAAGCGGGGCCTCCAAAACCTCGGCGCTGCAAGGTAGGAAGGAACGTAAAACCTCAGTAAGCTCGTTTAGAAGTCCTTGCGAACACCAACCTCTTGCTAGCCAAAGGCGCCTCGCGACTTTCGTGGCGTCGCTTCTTTCTAAGAGCAGTGCTGCGTCGCTGTGACTTAGATCCCTTGCCGGAACGCTGGCCAGAAGCTGTGCTGGGCGATGAGTTGCCGCCGCAGTGTCCGACCGAACTGGTGCTACTCATATCTGTGGCATCACTGTCGTAGCCGGCCAGCTCGTTCACCTCCGGTGGCAGCTTGTGGCTAAACTGACCGAGGGTTTTCGGTGACAGGGAAAAGGCGGGGGCTGCGGCATCACCACTACCACTGCCACTGGTCAGGGTCACAGGCGGATTGCTGCTGCTGCCGGTGCCCCCACACACCGAGTACTTCGAGGGCGAGGCATCCGAATCGGTGAGCGCCTCTGCCGAGGTAACCGTCGAGGATGTGGCCGATCCTGCGGCCGTGTTGCTGCTGCGCGAGCGCTGCATATTCTCGCGGCACCACTGCAGGTAGGACTCGCGAGCAATTTGCTCCTCGATGGCTTCGTTGGTGGCTTCCCAGTCGGTTGTCTTTAGCTTATCCTCGAACATGGTCTGAAATTTTAATGGGTCAATAAGGAGTTGTAAGCATGGTAGCTTTACATACCTGTTCGATTTCCAACTGCTCACTGAGACGCACTGCCTCTTTGGTTTGGATCTCGGGCTTGTAACCAGCCAAGCCCAGGCCCACGCCAACGGTGGCGTTGTAGGGATCTAGAATAGCATTATAGTGGGATCCGCGCTGATAGGACAAACGCAAGGGGGGATAGCCTGCCTGCGACTGCTCGGAGTTAAAAATGTTGATGGGATCTGTAATGAGAATACAAATATATTAGAGTTTGGTTTATACATTAATTTAATATTTATATTAACACTAGATTTTACTTACTTGACTGGTAGCAGTATACTTCAACGGTGCGGCTGTAGATCTCGGATATCGCCTGGATCTCGATGTGGTTGCCATGAGCGTCTCTAGCTCGTTTGCGCTGTATATAGCTGTTGATGTCCTCAGTGACAAACTGACCAAAGTACTCGCGATTCTCGTGCTGCATGAGAAACCAGTACTATTAGTATACAATTTGAAATACCTCAGGCCTAAACATTACAATGTAATCCATGGTGTGTTGCCGGATCACGTCGTGCATCTCCTCGTCGCCGTAGATCTGCAGCGAGATCGAGCGAAAGAGGCAGGCGCCGTCCTCCTCGACGGGCTTCAGTTCGTAGCCGCGCTGTTCCATGCACTTGGCGAACTCCACGTCGCGGCGCTGCCACTCCTCCACCGGAATCAAGCGCTCCTTGGGCTGAAGATGCTCATCGCCGCTGTTGTAGCCGGAGAACGTCTCCTCCACTGTTTTCAGCAGATTGGCAGCCGCCGTGGCCGGCGACATCTGAACCTGTGCTTTCGGTGCTGTGGCGCAGCCTAGCCCCAAATGTTCGGGCGAATTCCTGCCCACCGCCGAGGGACTGCTACTGCCAGAGGTCGAAGCCAACGGCGGACTGTTGCACTTGCTGCCGGAGACACCGGGTGCTCCGCTTCCCGCCACCGCCGCCGGGTGGTTCAGTTTCTCACGCTCCAGACGATCGCGCTTGTAGTGGTGGGCATGGGTTTCGTGGTGGTCACGACGCTTCGAACGTGTGCTGGTTGAAAGGGAAAAACCGTCAATATTGAATTCCAAATAGATTGTAAGGAAATTTAGGATTTTTACAAACGGAATAACGACTACTGATTTGAATAGAGGATTTTCAAAATCAAACTATAAATTATAATTCGATTTTTGACTATGTTTAGCATGGTAAACCTATAAAAAACTTAGAAACCATTTGAATAATACAGAGAAAATTATCAAAAGTTTTAGGTGCAAAATAAGGGGTGAAACATTTTAAAAAGTAAAACGTTTCATACAAATTTATTTTACTTTGCATTTTTAAAACGTTTTCATTTTTATTTTTAAAACGGTTTTATATGAAAACGGAACCTAAAACGTTGTATAATTTTTTCTGTGCAATGATTATGATAATTATGATTATAACAAAACTGAACAAGTATGGGTTTTAAACCTTTGGAGTGCCAACGGTATGTAAATTTGTAAAAACATTTTGTAATTAATAGAGAATAAATGAATGTAAACATTATAAATGTTCTTAAATCTCAGTTAAGGTTGGTCATATTTCTAAGAAGTTTTTAAATTTGCAAATATTAATTACTAGCATTGAATTACGTTACGAAGATGAAATTAGAGTTGGAACCTAGCAGAAAGAACTATAAACCGGATAGTCACGCTTGCATTTTAATTCTTCTAGATGTAGGTCTCCTAACTCTTGTGAATTCCCTTGTACTTATACACCAGGAATGTTAGGGGAGTCCCCACTCTTCCGAGTAACCCAATTAAATGCAGCTGCTACGGGGCGCGGAGCCCCACCCCGCGAAATCCAGTGAGTAGCCCCATGGCCATAACTCACCTCTTGTGGGGGCTGCAGCGATGGGTGCGTGCCAGTTCGTCGTAGACCTCGCCACGCCTCTGGGGACTCTGAAAAGGGGGCGGAAAAAGGAGCCAATTAATAGGCGAGACCAGGTGGCGATTTGGAAAAGTGGCCCACTCACCTGCCCATGTCCATCGATGACGACGTTGCGATGGCTGTGGGTGTGGGCATGGCTGTGGGTCTGGCTGACCACCGACTGCTCCACCACAACCACCTGGGCCTCCTTGTTATCCGCATCCACATTGCCAGCCACGCGCTTCGCACTCGGTGGTGCGCTCACTGGCTTGATTGTCATGGTGGTGCGCTGCTATTTTCGTGCCCCTCACTGTGCTCCTCTCCTTTGTTGCTGGCTATCGGGTGGATCAAACACTTTCTTGGGGGCGAAAAGTGTGCGTCATAGGCGACACCTCCGGATTTGTATGTGCGTTTGACCGTTCCACACAAATCACGAAAAACTATGTGTTCTTTGTCCGAGATGTCGTCGCAGAAAATGCGACCTCAGTGGTTCCTTTCACCCACCGAAAACCGAGTTTCTCTTGTTTCCGGATGGAGAAGTTAGTGGGGATCTTTCGTAAGCCGAATGTGTGCTCTAATTTACCGATTTCAATTGTAATACCAAATCACAAAGACTGCTGCGTTGAATTAAAAGAAAAACGACAATTTCCAGATTTTCATCTGTTCGTGCAAGTGTGTGTGTGTGTGCAGTGTTTGCTATTTGCCTAAAACTGCTCAAAACTCCGCGATTAAAGTCGTCTACTTCCGGTCACTGTTTCCAAACGCTTCGCGAAACGTTGTCACTTTTTTATTAACTATTTCGGGGGTTTTTTATTGTTGATAATCCTGAAATTCGATTTTTTTTTATTTTTTTTTGGACCGCTAGAGGTGGAGAAACATCGATGGTAACATCGATGAATCGATGATTTTATAAATTTCGGAAACATCGATGTTTTTCCTTTGCAATCGATGTTTTTCGTTTTAAAAATTTCTTTTACGTTTTTTAAATATATATTAACATATATGTTAATCATTTATTGATTTTTTGGTTTATTGTCTGATTTCTCGTGAAAAACGAAAATAAGTACCATACACACCCTGTGTAGAAAAAGTACTCCTTGCGCGCAAAAATTCAAATGATGTTATTTTAAAATATAATTTCTTTTAATATATTAATTATAACTGTTAGTTTTTTAGAAAACACTGAAATGGTATATTAGTTAAAAACTGTAATTAAAAATCTAATTTTTAAATTTTTTTTTAATTTACAAGTTAAATAATGTAAACAAATGCCAAATCTCTCTAATAAATAACACGTCAATATTGGATACACGTTTGTATCACGCAGGTTGCTGACTCTTCGCCATTAGAAATTAAACACTGAAACATATGTGCAAATATTTGGCAGAGTATAACATGGATTTTTTTCGGAAAGGTATAAAACGCTAGAGCACGTAATTCAAATTTTAGTCTGCATTCCAACCAATCATGAAGGCACATGCTTTAATTGTTATTTTCTCGTTGATGCTATTGATGTTAGCATGTGCCAACGCCGAAAGTTCCACAACCACTGAAGCCCCCACAACCACGACTGAATCTCCGTCAGTTCCTCAATGGTCATGGACGGACTTTATTAAGTTTTTCAACGGCAGCAGTAGTGGAAACAAATTCTACTTTTTCTTCTAGGCCTGATTAACCCGTTTACTGTTGCTTCATTTTTTCTATCTTTCTTCTTAAAAATAAATGTTCAAACTTCTTAAAGCCTAACCTCATATTTGGGTTTTGTGTTTTTATTAAATATGTAAGAACTTTTTTGAACAGCCAAAATAAAAAGAAGCATTACCCCAAAATACCAGGGACCGTAAATAACAGTTATTTGTGATTTTTATTTTAAAAAGACTACTGTGATATTTTGTTTTAAACGTCAAAAATAACGTTCTTTTTACTCTTGTCCACAAAGTATATGCATGTCAATAAATCTGGAAAGCAAATTAACTGTTATTTGTTCATGTCTATAAAGTGCAAAAAAAACAGTTAAATTGTTAATTAAAACTTGTACACATCTCAGTAGGCCTTTTAAAATAAAAATCACAAATAACTGTTATTTGCGGTCCCTGCAAAATACAATCATGCCCATATCAATCATCACATTTATCTCCCAATAGAGTGTTCAATATTTTGTGATAATAAATAACTATTCTGTCGAATGAAAAATACCCAGAAAAAAAAAACGGATTTATAATATTCAAATGCATATATTTTCAATCGTGTAAATTAAAGTCATCTGCCGTTTAATTCTGGACTTATCCATTCGCACGGACCAACTTTAATATTGATTGCTCCAGCCGCCCCATCCGCTGCCATATGGACGCCATCCGTAGGGCGTCCAGCTCCTTCTGGCTCCAACGCCCACCCATCGTCCATTGCCCCACCAGTAGGGATACTGTCCGGTGGCGCCCACGGAGCCACCTTGCATCATGGTTGCGTCACTGGAGCTCTCCGATCCTTCCAAATTCTGTCCATCTACGGATGCGACTCCGTTATCCAAACTTCCGCTGTCTTGGCTGGCGCTTCTGGTCCAGGAATTCAAGTTCTGCGACTGAGCATCGTTACTGGTCTGACCACGGGCTAGCCGGAAACGGATGTCTGGAGATCCCTGGGCAAGAGAACTGTCGCCCGAGAATCCAGAGCGCTGGGACCAGGACTGTGCTCCTCGAGTTCCGACTGCACCTACAATAGAACCAGAAAGGGATGATCCATCACGGGCGTTGGTCTCACCATCTGTGGTACTTCTTTTAATCAGTTTCGACCACGAACTCGATGAATCTCCTCCGCCGACAGAGATTCCGGCATCAATGGTCGGCAGGGTTAAGCGGATAGGATTTGATGTTTTCTTTGACGAACTGGACCAGGAGTATTTTGTCTCAGTTTTGGGGACCGATGAAGTTTTAGACGTAATGGTTGTAGTTGTAGTTTTACTCGAACTTGACTTTCCATTCGACTGGGGAACTTCGGAGTTGTTTGAGGTGTAGGTTTTAGTGATCTTAGTCAGCGTTGAGCCAGACTTTCCTCCATCAAGTGAAATGGTGGCGTCAACTTCCGGTAGCGAGACAATACCCGACGATTTACTTCCTTTGGTGGATGTGGTTGTAGTTGTCGTTGAAGATTTTGAGCTTGACTTTCCGCCATTTGCCACTATGCTGGCATCAACCACCGGAAGTGATAAGGTACTGGACTGACTACCTCCATTGGTGGTTGTTGTTGTTGTTGTGGTTGATGATCGAGTGGTCTTTCCATCTTTGCTTGTATAACTTTCTTTAGTGACTTTGACGACAGGAGAAGACGATTCCCCAATTTGGCTCTCAGATGAAGTTGTCGTTGTAGTGGCCTGGTTCAAGCTTCCATTATCACTCAAAGCGCTACCCTGAGTGATTTCGATTTGGGGATCAGAGGACGTGCTGGATTGACCATTGTTTGAAGAAGTTTTCGTCGTAATGGTTGTAGTTGTAGTTTTGCTCGAACTTGACTTTCCATTCGACTGGGGAACTTCGGAGTTGTTTGACGTGTACGTCTTAGTGGTCTTAGTCAATGTTAAGCCTGCTTTTCCTCCATTAAGTGAAATGGTGGCATCAACTTCCGGTAGCGAGATACCCGACGATTTACTTCCTTTGGTGGTTGTGGTTGTAGTTGTCGTTGAAGATTTTGAGCTTGACTTTCCGCCATTTGCCACTATGCTGGCATCAACCACCGGAAGTGATAAGGTACTGGACTGACTACCTCCATTGGTGGTTGTTGTTGTTGTTGTGGTTGAAGACCGAGTGGTCTTTCCATCCTTGCTTGTGGAACTTTCCTTGGTGACTTTAACGACAGGAGCAGACGATTCTCCAATTTGGCTCTCAGATGAAGTTGTCGTAGTGGTGACCTGGCTCGAGCTTTCATTATCGTTTAAAGGGCTACCCTGAGTGATTTCGATTTGGGGATCTGAAGATGTGCTGGATTGACCCTTATTCGAAGAAGTTGTTGTTGTTGTGGTCGAAGATGTCTTGCTCGATTTACCACTATTGGAAGTGTTCTTCGATGAGCTCGACCAGGAGTGTTTGACCTTAGGAGTCGATGAGGAGCTTGTCGTTACGGTTGTTTTTGTGGTTTTAGTCGAGGTTGAGCTTGATTTGCCACCTTGGGAAACGACAGTAGCGTCTACCATCGGCAAAGATGAAGAGCTGGTCTGATCGCTTCCATCGGTTGAGGAAACTGTAGTGGTTGTTGAAGACTGGGTAGACTTTGCATCGTCGTTCGAACTGTTTCCTTGGATGACATCAATAGCTGCATCAACTAATGAGTCAGACGATTCTGCACCATCCACAGATGAACTATTCCTTTTACTTTTGCCGGTCGTTGAACTCCACCTCTTGGTCCAATACTTTTTGGACTTGCCACCATTTTTCTTCCATGAGTTTGACCAGGAGTGTTGGATTTGAGGTGTCGAGCTCGTCGTTACAGTTGTTGTTGTTACGCTCGAGCTAGAGTTAGAATTTCTATTTGACTTGGGAACCTTGGAAGTCTTTGACGAATAAGTTTTTGTGGTTTTCGTCCACTTTGAGCTCGATCCTGGCATGGTGCTGGCTTGGTCCGAAGATGTAGTTGTTGTTGTTGTGGTGGTCGACGAGGACTGACCGGAGTTTCCTTCATCGTTTGAAGATGTTCCCTGGGTGACTTCTACAGCAGGAGTAGACGACACAGTGGTTTGACTTTCATCAGAGGAGGTTGTCGAGGTGGTTGTGGACGAGGACTGACTGGAGTTTCCATCGCTGTTCGATCCCTGGGTCACTTCCACAGTCGGGTCAGAAGAGGTGGTGGCTTGACCGTCATCCGAAGATGTAGTTGTTGTTGTTGTGGTAGTCGACGAGGACTGACCGGAGTTTCCTTCATCGTTTGAAGATGTTCCCTGGGTGACTTCTACAGCAGGAGTAGACGACACAGTGGTTTGACTTTCATCAGAGGAGGTTGTCGAGGTGGTTGTGGACGAGGACTGACTGGAGTTTCCATCGCTGTTCGATCCCTGGGTCACTTCCACAGTCGGGTCAGAAGAGGTGGTGGCTTGACCGTCATCCGAAGATGTAGTCGTTGTTGTTGTGGTGGTCGAGGAAGACTGACTAGAGTTTCCATCACTGTTCGATCCCTGGGTGACTTCCACAGTCGGGTCAGAAGAGGTGGTGGCTTGACCGTCATCCGAAGATGTAGTCGTTGTTGTTGTGGTGGTCGAGGAAGACTGACTAGAGTTTCCATCACTGTTCGATCCCTGGGTGACTTCCACAGTCGGGTCAGAAGAGGTGGTGGCTTGACCGTCATCCGAAGATGTAGTTGTTGTTGTTGTGGTGGTCGACGAGGACTGACCGGAGTTTCCTTCATCGTTTGAAGATGTTCCCTGGGTGACTTCTACAGCAGGAGTAGACGACACAGTGGTTTGACTTTCATCAGAGGAGGTTGTCGAGGTGGTTGTGGACGAGGACTGACTGGAGTTTCCATCGCTGTTCGATCCCTGGGTGACTTCCACAGTCGGGTCAGAAGAGGTGGTGGCTTGACCGCCATCCGAAGATGTAGTTGTTGTTGTTGTGGTAGTCGACGAGGACTGACTAGAGTTTCCATCGCTGTTCGATCCCTCGGTGACTTCCACAGTCGGGTCAGAAGAGGTGGTGGCTTGACCGTCATCCGAAGATGTAGTTGTTGTTGTTGTGGTAGTCGACGAGGACTGACTAGAGTTTCCATCGCTGTTCGATCCCTCGGTGACTTCCACAGTCGGGTCAGAAGAGGTGGTGGCTTGACCGTCATCCGAAGATGTAGTTGCTGTTGTTGTGGTGGTCGAGGAAGACTGACTAGAGTTTCCATCACTGTTCGGTCCCTGAGTGACTTCTACAGTCGGGTCAGAAGAGGTTGTGGCTTGACCGTCATCCGAAGATGTAGTCGTTGTTGTTGTGGTGGTCGAGGAAGACTGACTAGAATTTCCATCACTGTTCGATCCCTGGGTGACTTCCACAGTCGGGTCAGAAGAGGTGGTGGCTTCACCATCATCCGAAGATGTAGTCGTTGTTGTTGTGGTGGTCGAGGAAGACTGACTAGAGTTTCCATCACTGTTCGATCCCTGGGTGACTTCCACAGTCGGGTCAGAAGAGGTGGTGGCTTCACCATCATCCGAAGATGTAGTCGTTGTTGTTGTGGTGGTCGAGGAAGACTGACTGGAGTTTCCATCACTGTTCGATCCCTGGGTGACTTCCACAGTCGGGTCAGAAGAGGTGGTGGCTTCACCATCATCCGAAGATGTAGTCGTTGTTGTTGTGGTGGTCGAGGAAGACTGACTAGAGTTTCCATCACTGTTCGATCCCTGGGTGACTTCCACAGTCGGGTCAGAAGAGGTGGTGGCTTGACCGTCATCCGAAGATGTAGTTGCTGTTGTTGTGGTGGTCGACGAGGACTGCCCGGAGTTTCCTTCATCGTTTGAAGATGTTCCCTGGGTGACTTCTACAGCAGGAGTAGACGACACAGTGGTTTGACTTTCATCAGAGGAGGTTGTCGAGGTGGTTGTGGACGAGGACTGACTGGAGTTTCCATCGCTGTTCGATCCCTGGGTCACTTCCACAGTCGGGTCAGAAGAGGTGGTGGCTTGACCATTATCCGAAGATGTAGTCGTTGTTGTTGTGGTGGTCGAGGAAGACTGACTAGAGTTTCCATCACTGTTCGATCCCTGGGTGACTTCCACAGTCGGGTCAGAAGAGGTGGTGGCTTCACCATCATCCGAAGATGTAGTCGTTGTTGTTGTGGTGGTCGAGGAAGACTGACTAGAGTTTCCATTACTGTTCGATCCCTGGGTGACTTCCACAGTCGGGTCAGAAGAGGTGGTGGCTTCACCATCATCCGAAGATGTAGTCGTTGTTGTTGTGGTGGTCGAGGAAGACTGACTAGAGTTTCCATCACTGTTCGATCCCTGGGTGACTTCCACAGTCGGGTCAGAAGAGGTGATGGCTTGACCGTCATCCGAAGATGTAGTTGCTGTTGTTGTGGTGGTCGACGAGGACTGACCGGAGTTTCCTTCATCGTTTGAAGATGTTCCCTGGGTGACTTCTACAGCAGGAGTAGACGACACAGTGGTTTGACTTTCATCAGAGGAGGTTGTCGAGGTGGTTGTGGACGAGGACTGACTGGAGTTGCCATCGCTGTTCGATCCCTGGGTGACTTCCACAGTCGGGTCAGAAGAGGTGGTGGCTTGACCATCATCCGAAGATGTAGTCGTTGTTGTTGTGGTGGTCGAGGAAGACTGACTAGAGTTTCCATCACTGTTCGATCCCTGGGTGACTTCCACAGTCGGGTCAGAAGAGGTGGTGGCTTGACCGTCATCCGAAGATGTAGTTGCTGTTGTTGTGGTGGTCGACGAGGACTGCCCGGAGTTTCCTTCATCGTTTGAAGATGTTCCCTGGGTGACTTCTACAGCAGGAGTAGACGACACAGTGGTTTGACTTTCATCAGAGGAGGTTGTCGAGGTGGTTGTGGACGAGGACTGACTGGAGTTTCCATCGCTGTTCGATCCCTGGGTGACTTCCACAGTCGGGTCAGAAGAGGTGGTGGCTTCACCATCATCCGAAGATGTAGTCGTTGTTGTTGTGGTGGTCGAGGAAGACTGACTAGAGTTTCCATCACTGTTCGATCCCTGGGTGACTTCCACAGTCGGGTCAGAAGAGGTGGTGGCTTGACCGTCATCCGAAGATGTAGTCGTTGTTGTTGTGGTGGTCGAGGAAGACTGACTAAAGTTTCCATCACTGTTCGATCCCTGGGTGACTTCCACAGTCGGGTCAGAAGAGGTGGTGGCTTGACCGTCATCCGAAGATGTAGTCGTTGTTGTTGTGGTGGTCGAGGAAGACTGACTAGAGTTTCCATCACTGTTCGATCCCTGGGTGACTTCCACAGTCGGGTCAGAAGAGGTGGTGGCTTGACCGTCATCCGAAGATGTAGTTGCTGTTGTTGTGGTGGTCGACGAGGACTGCCCGGAGTTTCCTTCATCGTTTGAAGATGTTCCCTGGGTGACTTCTACAGCAGGAGTAGACGACACAGTGGTTTGACTTTCATCAGAGGAGGTTGTCGAGGTGGTTGTGGACGAGGACTGACTGGAGTTGCCATCGCTGTTCGATCCCTGGGTGACTTCCACAGTCGGGTCAGAAGAGGTGGTGGCTTGACCATCATCCGAAGATGTAGTCGTTGTTGTTGTGGTGGTCGATGAGGACTGACTGGAGTTGCCATCGCTGTTTGATCCCTGGGTGACTTCCACAGTTGGGTCAGAAGAGGTGGTGGCTTGACCATCATCCGAAGATGTAGTCGTTGTTGTCGTGGTTGTCGACGAGGACTGGCCGGAGTTTCCTTCATCGTTTGAAGATGTTCCCTGGGTGACTTCTACAGCAGGAGTAGACGACACAGTGGTTTGACTTTCATCAGAGGAGATTGTCGAGGTGGTTGTGGACGAGGACTGACTGGAGTTGCCATCGCTGTTCGATCCCTGGGTGACTTCCACAGTCGGGTCAGAAGAGGTGGTGGCTTGACCATCATCCGAAGATGTAGTCGTTGTTGTTGTGGTGGTCGATGAGGACTGACTGGAGTTGCCATCGCTGTTTGATCCCTGGGTGACTTCCACAGTTGGGTCAGAAGAGGTGGTGGCTTGACCATCATCCGAAGATGTAGTCGTTGTTGTCGTGGTTGTCGACGAGGACTGGCCGGAGTTTCCTTCATCGTTTGAAGATGTTCCCTGGGTGACTTCTACAGCAGGAGTAGACGACACAGTGGTTTGACTTTCATCAGAGGAGGTTGTCGAGGTGGTTGTGGACGAGGACTGACTGGAGTTGCCATCGCTGTTCGATCCCTGGGTGACTTCCACAGTCGGGTCAGAAGAGGTGGTGGCTTGACCATCATCCGAAGATGTAGTCGTTGTTGTCGTGGTTGTCGACGAGGACTGGCCGGAGTTTCCTTCATCGTTTGAAGATGTTCCCTGGGTGACTTCTACAGCAGGAGTAGACGACACAGTGGTTTGACTTTCATCAGAGGAGGTTGTCGAGGTGGTTGTGGACGAGGACTGACTGGAGTTGCCATCGCTGTTCGATCCCTGGGTGACTTCCACAGTCGGGTCAGAAGAGGTGGTGGCTTCACCATCATCCGAAGATGTAGTCGTTGTTGTTGTGGTGGTCGAGGAAGACTGACTAGAGTTTCCATCACTGTTCGATCCCTGGGTGACTTCCACATTCGGGTCAGAAGAGGTGGTGGCTTCACCATCATCCGAAGATGTAGTCGTTGTTGTTGTGGTGGTCGACGAGGACTGGCCGGAGTTTCCTTCATCGTTTGAAGATGTTCCCTGGGTGACTTCTACAGCAGGAGTAGACGACACAGTGGTTTGACTTTCATCAGAGGAGGTTGTCGAGGTGGTTGTGGACGAGGACTGACTGGAGTTGCCATCGCTGTTCGATCCCTGGGTGACTTCCACAGTCGGGTCAAAAGAGGTGGTGGCTTCACCATCATCCGAAGATGTAGTCGTTGTTGTTGTGGTGGTCGATGAGGACTGACTGGAGTTGCCATCGCTGTTTGATCCCTGGGTGACTTCCACAGTTGGGTCAGAAGAGGTGGTGGCTTGACCATCATCCGAAGATGTAGTCGTTGTTGTCGTGGTTGTCGACGAGGACTGGCCGGAGTTTCCTTCATCGTTTGAAGATGTTCCCTGGGTGACTTCTACAGCAGGAGTAGACGACACAGTGGTTTGACTTTCATCAGAGGAGGTTGTCGAGGTGGTTGTGGACGAGGACTGACTGGAGTTGCCATCGCTGTTCGATCCCTGGGTGACTTCCACAGTCGGGTCAGAAGAGGTGGTGGCTTCACCATCATCCGAAGATGTAGTCGTTGTTGTTGTGGTGGTCGAGGAAGACTGACTAGAGTTTCCATCACTGTTCGATCCCTGGGTGACTTCCACAGTCGGGTCAGAAGAGGTGGTGGCTTCACCATCATCCGAAGATGTAGTCGTTGTTGTTGTGGTGGTCGACGAGGACTGGCCGGAGTTTCCTTCATCGTTTGAAGATGTTCCCTGGGTGACTTCTACAGCAGGAGTAGACGACACAGTGGTTTGACTTTCATCAGAGGAGGTTGTCGAGGTGGTTGTGGACGAGGACTGACTGGAGTTGCCATCGCTGTTCGATCCCTGGGTGACTTCCACAGTCGGGTCAGAAGAGGTGGTGGCTTGACCATCATCCGAAGATGTAGTCGTTGTTGTTGTGGTGGTCGATGAGGACTGACTGGAGTTGCCATCGCTGTTTGATCCCTGGGTCACTTTGACAGTTGGGTCAGAAGAGGTGGTGGCTTTACCATCATCCGAAGATGTAGTCGTTGTTGTTGTGGTGGTCGATGAGGACTGACTGGAGTTGCCATCGCTGTTTGATCCCTGGGTCACTTTGACAGTTGGGTCAGAAGAGGTGGTGGCTTGACCATCATCCGAAGATGTAGTCGTTGTTGTCGTGGTTGTCGACGAGGACTGGCCGGAGTTTCCTTCATCGTTTGAAGATGTTCCCTGGGTGACTTCTACAGCAGGAGTAGACGACACAGTGGTTTGACTTTCATCAGAGGAGGTTGTCGAGGTGGTTGTGGACGAGGACTGACTGGAGTTGCCATCGCTGTTCGATCCCTGGGTGACTTCCACAGTCGGGTCAGAAGAGGTGGTGGCTTGACCATCATCCGAAGATGTAGTCGTTGTTGTTGTGGTGGTCGATGAGGACTGACCGGAGTTTCCTTCATCGGTTGAGGAAGTTCCCTGGGTGACAGTGCTTTGCCCGTTATTAGAAGACGTTGTGGTGGTTGTTGTTGAGGATTGACTTGTTAGTCCATCATTAATGATGTCGCCGAAAGAACTCGACCGATCGGAAATTTCGAGTTGCTTTTTCCCGTTGGCACAATTCACATAATTCGGATTTCCTAGCAGTTCTCCGTCGTGCAAGAGAAGCAATTTTCCGAAAAGCCTGTCCAGCAGCCACAGGCGAATATCCTTTCGTATTTCGATTAGAGTTTGTCGAACACTTTCACAACATGGCTGTGCCTTTATATTTGGGGAGGCTACCGCCGTAACCGTTTTAGATTCGGATTGAGCCGCTGCGACGGCCACAAGAGCGGCCAAAACCGCGACGAAAAACAAGCGCATGATCCTCCAAGAAACCGGGAGTCGGATCAATTCGATCTGTTGGCCAAATTTAAATTTCGAAACCTTTTATACCCGCGGGCGCAGGCTTTCGTTATTTTTTGGCTATTTGCGTAGATGCTTGTCTAGCTTGCAAATTTTATTTGTTAAAGAACATTTGGTACTTCCATTGTTTCCACAAAAATACATAAACTGAGCCAATTGTCTGAACTATACTATACGTCAAAGTAAATATCTTTGAAGTACCTATTAAAGAAACAACTGTGCAAAATATTTGTTCTTAGCTTGGATTAAACACTTGTTAGATATTTTGACTTTACGTAAATCGCTCGCTCGTGTCAAAAGTATACGTCAGAGGTGCATTAACCGATTTTTGAACAATGGCTTTAAAGCACACGATACCCGTTTATTTGGTCAGCCAGTTCTCCAAAAATGTGGAAACAATATGAATAAAGGCAAAAACGTAATTTTCATGTTTGTTTATTTGTACGATTTAAAATTAAATGATTGTGTAACAAATTATAAATTTGAACTGTGCACTGTGTTGCCTACTAGTATTCGTCCTTCTCGAAAGGGTGGTGGGGGTGACCGAAATGGCTGAAAATGTACAAAAATTGATTAGTTAATATCATAAAGTTATATTTTGCATACATTTTAAGCAAATAATGTCTAAGAGAACATCGGGTTAGCTACGGCAAACTGAGACTATTTTTCAGCATATTAATATGTTCAAGTTATTCAACGAAGCAAATAAAGAAAGTTAAAACACAAGCAGAGGAAGGTAAGATAATAAAGAAACTAAGTAAACACAGCTTAGGTAAATAGGTATAAGCAATCGAAAGAAAAACATTTATGAGCCAAAATTATAAAACATACGTTAAGCTCATGTTCATGTTTGTGTAGATTTGCCTTGTCTTTGGATATTTTTCTTGTAAAAGTTTCATTTTTCATAAGGCATAATTTCTCATTTATAGGAATTCTTCTTCGTTACTTCTCGCTTTGCAGATATCGGCTTCTTAAAGCTTAATACTCGTCGTGAAATGGATAGTACTTATGGGTACCATGGCTAAGTAAATATAAATAAAGTCTCGATTTATATGGGATATAGAGAAAATTGGTGTTTGTTGATATAAGACGTATAAAAGTTTAAATATTATTCGAAAGTAATACGATTCCAATTTCGTATTAAATAACCTTAAAGCCAGTCTTCATAAAAATGTAAATAACTAAATAGGTTTTTTTGGGTACTTATACTTACTTGAGCAGGGGCACCAGGCGACCGTTGCACTCGAAGCTCTCGATGATTTCGATTTCCTCGGGTGTCAGCTCAAAGTCAAAGACCTGGAAGTTGGACTCGATGCGATCCTTGGTCACAGACTTGGGAATGACGATGTTAGCACGCTGCACCTGGTAACGGATGAGGATCTGTCCAGGAGTCTTGTTCTTCTTGGTGGCAATCTCCTTGATCTACAAGTTTAAAATTGTAATACTTTAAGTTAAATGCCACTCGTTTATATGGTTAGAGTCATACCTTAGCCTCCTCTAGGATGACCGGATCGCCAGCCTTGGCCCATGGGCGGTTGGGAGATCCCAAGGGGCTGTAGGCGGTGATCGTGATATTCTTCGACTTGCAGAAATCGATCAGTTTCTTCTGTGTCAGATATGGGTGGCACTCAATCTGGTTGGTTGCCGGTGGGATGGTGGCCACCTCGAGCACGCGCTCAATCTGCTTCCTGTTGAAGTTGGACACGCCAATGGACTTGACCAGACCTTCCTCAACCAGCTTCTCCATGGCCTTCCAGGTATCGACGTAATCGACCGGCGAGTACAGGGTCTTGCCATCCTTATCGGCGGGGAACAGTTCGCAACCCTCCTTGAAGCCCATGGGCCAGTGGATGAGGTACAGATCGAGGTACTTCAGCTTTAGGGAGCTGAGGGTGTTCTCGACTGCAGTCTTGACCAGATCCGGGCGATGGAAGGTGTTCCACAGCTTGCTAGTGATGAACAGATCCTCACTGCAAGAAGGTGAAGTTTAAAACCAGAGTCCCAAGAATATGATATCAAGTTTAGAACTCACCGCTTGACAACGCCCTCCTTGATCTTGGCCTCAACTCCATCGCCAACCTCATCCTCATTTTGGTAGACATAAGCACAGTCAATGTGCCTGTAACCAGCATCAATGGCCACTTTCACAGCCTCGGTGACCTCTCCCTTGGGGCTCTGGAAACATATTATTTAAATTGATTGTTTTTATTATTTCCTTTTTTTTTTTGATAATGCAGTTCTATTTGTATATTTCACAATTGTAACTATCAGAGAATTTTCTTATTGGCTATCGCACTTTCTAGTAATACTTTGAATAAGAAAGGAAGTAACCCATCAGGAAATATGTTAATCTCTCATCGATATTTCACAATTTCTTATCTACTCCACTATCAGTTATGGGGAGCGTGTAAGTAATAATAAGAGGAAGAAAGGAAGGTCTTTTGAGACCTTTATAACTTTCATATCTGAAGCATTTAAAGTACGTCACCCTGGAATATTCGATGCTCTAAGCCGAATTTCGCAATTCGTTGTCGAGCAAAGTTTCAGTTATGAGGAGCGTGATTCGGAAATCGCTTATCTGACTTTTGACGTCACTTATCAGGCCCCTTAGTTCCCGCATCCTAAATATGTACCTAGACAGATCATAAATAGGTCAAGCCAAAGAAATACAAATCTGATTTAGGCACGTGAGTTTTAATACTATTACAATGGTAAACGGATGTATGTGTACTTTTAAACGTTCTTTTTTTCAAATTTGTTAGTATGTGATTTATATTTAAAATTCTGGGCAATATTTTAGTCAAAAGAAAGGTCAAAGACTTTCGTTTAATTTTGACATAATAAGCATATATTACGGGCTCTAGACTAATTTATGGGTGTGAGCACCAAGCCTCCCCTCGTTTGTGTTCTACAAATAGTACACGTAAACTAAAACAGATAAGGCCTTTTATAAAATACCCTTATAATACCCTTGCTAATTAAACGCTGCTTATCAGCGACTTTCCCACTGTAATCTGAATAGCATTTCCATTAGGAATCGAATTGAAATTAGGGGTTTGCGTACTGAGAGGGGCGCGTCTTTAAAGAATGCTTGAACTACAACCTATCCCTATTTTTATTTTATAAAATCTTTCGAACTTTAAGCCTAGTACTTCAATCAAAAAGGCAACGAAAATTTCTCTACAAAAATGACAAAATACAAAATGAAAAATTTTGTGATCCAAATTTTGTATGGAAATTTTCACTTCGTAGGCTTTTCGATTGAAGTGAGTTCTAGGCCTAAAACTGAAGTAATCTTGTCTTGAAATCCTCCACTTAAGATAAGAATGTTTATCAGCTTCTGACAACAGTCCGTAATATTCTTGTAGAGACGACTATGTGCCCCAAATATATGAGTGTTTGTGGGGTATATCAAGAAGTAATGTGGCAAATATTTGCAAAAAGTTTCCACTGCCATAAGAAGGTAAAAAGGGTCACCTTGGCGAAAATGTCATGGAGATCTTCGACTCACGTATTTTTGATGAGCAATAGTAATTAGCATAAGCGCTATGGAATATTAGTTACTTTTGTAGCATTGCTGTTAGATTCGACACTCCCACTATAGTATTAAAATTCATATGTATAAATAGAATGGCCGGCAAAATAATGCCGGCAAACTATCAGCTATACGACGCGTGTCATTTTTTATCCCCCCTTTTTTCAAGCATCAGAGCAAAAACAAATGTGAAAAGAACGGGAAGTCGTGGGCAGCGGAAAACTACCCGATTATGGGACCCACAAACACAGTGGCAATAATTTGCAAATGCTAAAAATTGATTAGTGCAGTTATTTGATATTCTACTTACGCCCCAGGTTCCCAGACCAAGGATTGGGATTTCCTTTCCGTTGTTGAACTTAACGTTTGGCACAGCCATTTCACTCGCTTATATCTTCTGTTTTGTAGGTAGGATTACAAATATTTATAATACAATTGGGCACTTTTTGGTTATTGCCTCTTCTTTACAAACTGAACGATTCCCCCAGCTGTTTGTCGCTTTTATACGAACCGGAGCTTGTCTGAAAATCAAAAAGCTTTCGAATCAGGGCTGCAAAATGCCCCCACATTGGGGACCAGAACAGCTGAGCGATCGTCAGTTAGGTTTAAAAATAAATTAAATAAATATTGTATTCAAAGTTATTTTTAAAGTTAAGATAGGTTCAAAAAAATTAAATAAATATAGGAATGGCATTTTTTTAGATTTAAAAAAATGTTTTGTTTGTTTCTTTTAGTTGTAGTAAAGATAAATAAATTCAAATAAGATACATACTTCGATTTAGAATCGATTTGAAATTGCAAGAGTTCTATAAGCGTGATGCGGAAGCTCTTTAAGGCTCGATAGGTGCACAACTGTATTTTTATCATAATCAAATTTAAGATTTGTGATATTTTTAAGTCGTTTCATTTCAAATATTTAAGATATTGTTTTCATGGCTGATGTGAATAAGTAAAATTAGGATTACAAGAATGCATTACCCACACTCACATTCCAGGTTCCCAGTCCAATTATTGGAATCTCATTTCCGTTCAATAAAACAACTTTGGGAACTCCAGCTATTTCTTTCTGGCACCTAATGGTTAAATATTTTTTTCAAGGTTTTATTACATACAATAAATTTTCTTATACATTACCACATGAAACGCTCGGTTTTTCCATAATTTCTCAATGTGTAACCTACAATAGGTCGAGCCAGTTGAATTTTTAATAAAGTGTTCATTTTAATACAAGTGCAAAGTGAATTTTCTATTATTTTAATATCTGAATGCTTTGACAATGCAATGGCTACTTGCTATTTTGATTTATTTCTAAACGAAAAATAGCATAATAAACGTGTATATGAAAATGAAAAGCCACATTTTAAGAAATTTGACAATAACAATTTATCTTGGTTCCAAACTAAACATTTTTATAATGGCTTACGAAGCATAACATGTTTATTACATAATCACTAAATAACTAATTTTAACACTATTATTTTATGTCGATCACTAAGGTTTTTTCACACACTTGTAAAAGAGGTAGCTGATATAATGGTATAGTATTTTTTAGATCACCACTTCACAAGGAAAGAAATCTATCAACATAAAAGGCAACCGCAATTTTTAAGTTAATTCCATTACTAATTATCTATTTCGCTTGTAGTGGCTCAAAGGGATGATGACGATGTCCATAGGCCCTGCAAAAATGTGGGGTATTTTACAAAAGATCTTTCTGCTATTAAATAATATGAATTCAAAAGTTATGTTGAGTTGGATTTGAACACTTACGCTTTCATGGTCATAAAACGACCATTACAGTCCAAGTCATAAATAGCCTTTACATCGTCGCTGGCCAGTTCAAAGTCCCAGATTCGCTTAAAGTTGTCCAGCATGTGCTGTTTGCTCACGGATCGGGGTATAACGATAATGCCCGACTGTGTTTGATAGCGGAGAAGCACCTGCAGATAGAACAGTAATAGGAATTTAACTAAGAGATATTATAGGACTTTAGTAAGTACCTGTGCTGGTGTCCTTCCGTATTTCTCGGATACAGCCAGGATAGTCGGGTGTTGAAGCAAAGGATACGCTCCGGGCTTTTCGTAAGGCGTGTGTCCCGATCCCAGACAGCTGTAAGCGGTTACAGCAATGGCATTATCATAGCAGAGAGTAATCAGTGGCTTTTGACTGAGGTACGGGTGGCACTCGATCTGCAGAACCACCGGCTTCAGCTTGGCAACACTCAACAGTCGGGTGATTTGCTGTTCATTGAAGTTGGACACACCGATGGCCTGGCACAGACCCTCATCCACTAGATCCTCCATTGCCCGCCATGTGTCCACGTAGTCGATGTCCTCGAAGGCAGCCTTATTCGTGTCCGGACAGGTGGGATATAGGATATCGCCCGACTTGTAGGCCATTGGCCAGTGCATTAAATACAGATCCAGGTAGTCCACCCCCAGGTTCTTCATACTCGTCTCGCAGGCGGAACGCACTAGCTCCGGTTTGTGGTGGGTGTTCCAGAGTTTGCTCGTGATGAAGAGTTCATTCCTGGATAAAAAAGAGTTTAAGTTGTGGGTTGAAATGCACCTCGAGTAACGACTTACCGCGTTACCTCGCCCTTGTCCATTTTCTCCCGAAGAGCAGCGCCCACCTGGGCCTCATTTCCATATATATGGGCGCAATCAAAGTGGCGGTACCCTATATCGATGGCATCCTTTACCGCTTGGGTGACGACCTCCGGGGGGCTCTAAATTGGGGGGAGGAAAATTCACGTGAAAAGCTAAAATGCAACAACAGCTTTGGGAGCTTTGACATTGACCGTGAAATAATTGGAAATGCACATTTCTGTTGGTGGATTATTTAATAGCATTCTATTTACGACCACTCACCCGCCAAGTTCCAAGACCCACCATAGGCATATTTTTTCCGTTGCTTAAAAGAAAATTTGGCGTCGACATATCTGATTTTTCGACCGCCGAGTCCTTTTCCTCCTTGTGAAATACGGAAGTAATACTGGCTTGTGTTTCCAAAGCTTTAATTTGTAATTTACCAAATGAACTAAACTCAAAGGCCTGTTAAACTGGCTACAAACGACATTTCTTGTGACTGCCGATCACAAGTTTATATACGTAAATTGTTTAAATTTAGAAACTTTTGGGCAAGCAAAAGACCTTCGCGAAACTAATTCGATTCGACGCAGAGGCAAGTTTTAAAATGTTGAACTGAATTTTTTTAAATTTGTTTACTATATTTAATTAAAATTATTGCAAAAAAACTTTTAGAAAACGTATTTGATTTATAAATGGTTTTTAAGTCGGGAGAAGCAAAAATCTCGTCCATTTAAAACAGTTTGGAATTTGTTTTTGTAGCGTTCTGTAGCTCTTACAATAAATAGTTAAGTGCTCTCTCCTTATCATCTAATAGAATTAGCTATTCGGTGCTTTCAGAAACTAATCAACCGACTTAGTTAAGCTATTTTCATAAATTACATTAATATTTGTATAATTCATTCATTCTCTTGAAATAAAGGGTTTTTATACCCTTGTAGAGGGTATTATAATTTCAGTCAGATGTTTGCAACGCAGTGAAGGAGACGTTTCCGACCACATAAAGTATATATATTCTTGATCAGCACCAATAGCCGAGTCTATCTAGCCATGTCCGTCTGTCCGTCTGTCCGTCTGTCCGTTTCTATGCGAACTAGTCTCTCAGTTTTAAAGCTATCGCGATGAAACTTTCCCGAAAGCCTTCTTTCTATTGCAGGTAGTACATATGTCGGAGCCAGCCGGATCGGACCACTATATCTTAAGGCTCCCAAACAAATATAAGAAAATTCATTGTAACTTTGTAGGAAGTAGGCGTTTTGATTCTTGACTACTTAAAAACAAAATTGAAATAAATCGAAACGCTGCACCGAGTGAGTATTCTTTTATCTACAAGGGTATATAAGCTTCGGCTGGCCGAAGGTAGCTTCCTTTCTTGTTTTTCCTAAATCCGACTGCTGTTGGAGGAGAGTGTCTTTGCTATTTCTGGAGGGTGTCTCCGCTATTTGAAATTTATATTTTAAATTAGGATTATATGTGACAAAAACAGGATATTTTCTAGGTTTTTCGTAAAAATTCTATTCAAATAAATGTCGCAGCTAAAAGGCTGATAAGTTATCAGTGATAACTCAACAATTTAACACTACTAAAGAAAAACACGGTTTTAAGTCCGAGTCTTTTACTCTTAAAAATTCACAATCAATTAAATGCACTACGCGGATACGGAGGGGAATGGATTCTGCTTGGATACGACCAGCTTGTTGTGGGCATGCGAGATGTAGCCCTTGATCTTTCCCTCGTAGATCAGATTGGCCACGATGCAGTGCGTCTCGTCCAGAGAGACATCGTTCAGGCCCACAAACTGCAGCGCGGAGAGGAAGTCGCCCATGTCCAGCTGATGGGTCTGCCGGATGGCGAAGACCTTCTTGAACAGGTTCCGGTACACGAGGAACTTGAGCTTCTCGACCAGCAGATAGATGCCGCTCCGGATCAGCACCAGCTCCTGATCCCGGACAATCTCGTCGAAGCGATTCACATTGCCCGCCTTCAGGGCCAGCGCAAGATCGTGGAACAGCAGGAGATCATAGCGCTGCAGGAGTGATTTTGTTGGCAAATAGCCCAGCAGCATCTTCACCGGCACCAGGTAGATGAGGATCAGTCGCTTGTTGCTGGCAAACCGATCGGGGCAGTTGCTAAAGGCATACGACAAATCCTGCACTGCCGCCTGGTAATTGGAGTCAAACATGGCCCTTCTGCCCACGAAATACTTGTAGGTAATCTGCTCCGGCAGCGGAAAGGTGTCCTTAAAGACGCAGTTGTCTATGGCGCGGATGAGGGGCTTGCATAGATGCAGCTTGTTGATGCGGAAGTAGATCTTGAACAGCTGGTTGACCAGGTTCATCATGCCCAGTCGCTTGGTATCCTCCTCGGAGGCGCGTCCGTCGGCGGCGCAGACGCGGAAGCAGGCCATCATGCAGTCGGCGGCCTTCTCCAGCACGTGACCCGGTGTGAATCCCCGGCAGTGCTTCTCGCAGGCCTGCGCCAGGTACCGCAGGTCCAGGCAAACGCGGTACATGAGCGGCAGGCACCAGTTCTCGTCCTTCAGCTGTTGCAGAAGCCTCACCACGGCTCCGCAGGCTGCGGCCTGCTGGGTGTAGGCCTCCATGTAGCCAGGCGGCTCCTGCGCCAGGTGATACAGAACCTTCAAATGAGCGGACACCACATCGTCGAGTGGGGGCTTCAGGAAGCGGTCCACCAGCTTCTCGGGCTGGGCGATATACAGGCTGTGGTTCTGCACGTGCACGTCCCGCAGCGACAGGTGGGTGCCCAGAGATTCGCCATCGTAGTCCTGGGCGGCGTGCAGCACGCCGGATAAATAGTTATTCAAGGTGCCGAACATTGTTTGTGTTTTTTGGCGAGCGGCAAAATTAGTGATGGCAAACTAATAGAGGTGGAAGATCAGCGATGTTTTTGTTTGGAAACTTTAGAAAAATTTCGAGGGAATATTAGGGGGATTCCCTAAACTGTTGAATTGCTGAATTGTTGAAAATTCAACAAAAAATTTCAGCAATTAAGGGAACGACCCAAAATGGTTCCTGTTGAATTTTCAAACAGCTGTTATTTGTTGAAAAATTTCACGGAACTTGAAGCATGTAAAATTTGATTTATTATTTATTATTATTAGTTACTGTCTAAAGGTGTAACCAAGGTAAAAAGAACCACAAATATGCTTTCTAAGTTGATTTTAAAATAAATAATGCGTACTGGTGATACTAAAATGTTACAGAGTTGCCACGAATTTTAAAAAAAGGTGACAACTCTGGCTTTTCAGCAATTCAACAAAATTTTCAACAGCCTCGAGGCTGTTGAATTGCTGAAATTTCTGAAAGTTGACTTTGTATGGAACAGCTGATTAACAGCTGACCAAAATTCAACAATTCAGCAATTCATCAGTTTAGGGAATCCCCCTATTGTATTGAAAATAAAACAATAAAGAAAAATATATAAAAACAAAACATCGAAAATATCGAAAACTTATCAAAAAATGGCGTTAGTCCGTTTCACCGCCGTTTTTTTTCTGGTATATTTGAAACCGTAAAAATGGTATTTAAAGTATGATCCGTAGATGGTACTATTAATAATTCCGAAGTCACTATTTGAGCAAAATTAAACATTTAACACAATTCTTTCGGCACTACCTGGTAAATGAGCTAGCACGTCAGCCGCTCGAGGCTGTGCAGTAAACAAGTCGCTAGAAATCAAATCAAATTAATTCAGAGCTTTTCCGTAGCCGGCAACGTGTTGTCATTTTGCCATCGTAAAATCAATATTACTAATTTTGCTTTGCGTTTACAACGTGACATAACTAAGCGCGAACTACATAGTGTTTGTTTCCCCCGCATTGCAGAAATCCGCTGACACAGCAGAAAGCGACGAAAGCAGCGCCGAGTCGCCAAATCGCAGAGTACCTGGAACCGTGCGTCCCCCATAGAAGAGAGGCTAATCTTGAAAGCGGACATGGCTGCGCCGGTCATTGTCGAGGCCACGGCCAAGCAAACCGCCACGGTGAGTATCCGGTGAAGTCCCCTTTCGGAAGTGGATCCTAACTAGTCTCTGTCTTCCAGCTGATCTTCATGCACGGCCTGGGTGATACGGGGTAAGTGGTGTCTTCAGTTACAAAAGTTCGCAATATAATGGGATGTGCGATTCCGGCTAATTATCAATAGAATTGTACAGCTTTAGGAGTAGTTTCCAACAAAAATCTACTTTAAACCGATTTCTGTATCATATATTTCGAAATTTTGTAATCCTTAGAGAAGCCCCCGTCCCAAATTCCTTAAGTTAAGTCGAATTTATGCCAAAGGGGTTTTGCTTTTATGGTTCCACAGGGTAAAATAATAATTAAGTATTCCACATGGAATGATCGAATTCTCCCACTTGAGTATAGCACAATTTAAAGTGGGCTCCATAGATTCAAATTACAGATTAAAAGACTTCAGAGGATTCCGGAATTTTTCAAGCTAAGTCGTAATTCGTGGCTCCAGCTACAATTAAACACATTAGAATTACTGATAAGAAGTCCCAAAAGATTTCTCAAATATTTTTCGAAATGGTTCCCAAAGGAATACTTTTAAAAATGGGGTTAAGATAAGGCCACTTTTATATAAAAAAAAACAATTTATGAAACGTACGCTTGTTTTTTTCTTGGGACTACAAATATAACAATACACAAATCGTACAATTAAAATAATTCAAGTATTTTTTAGCTCAAGGCAACTGTACTTTTAAATACTTAACTATGTATTACTATATATTTAAACTATGATTTATAATTTTCTTTAAATTAATGAACATTTTCTCTTGCAGCCATGGATGGAGCAGCGCCTTGGCCGCCATTCGGCCACCGTTCATGAAGGTCATCTGCCCCACGGCGCCCACACAGCCCGTTTCGCTGAACGCCGGCTTCCGGATGCCCTCGTGGTTCGACCTGAAGACCCTGGACATCGGTGGGCCCGAGGACGAGCCGGGCATCCAGTCGGCCCGCGACAATGTGCACGGAATGATTCAAAAGGAGATTAGTGCCGGGATACCGGCCAATCGGATCGTCCTGGGTGGATTCTCGCAGGGAGGCGCCTTGGCGCTGTACTCGGCACTGACCTACGACCAGCCGCTGGCCGGCGTGGTGGCCCTGTCGTGCTGGCTGCCGCTGCACAAGCAGTTCCCCGGCGCCAAGGTGAACAGCGAGGATGTGCCGATCTTCCAGGCGCACGGCGACTACGATCCCGTGGTGCCCTACAAGTTCGGCCAGCTGAGCGCCAGTCTGCTCAAGTCGTTCATGAAGAATGTGACGTTCAAGACCTACAATGGACTCTCGCACTCGTCGTCCGACGACGAGATGGATGACGTCAAGGTGAGTGGGGCGCACGGAGCGTCATTCGGAATTCCCCTGGCTAGCGAAACGCTAAAGAACTTCATTACGCTCACTCTGCTCTTCTCGATTGCAGGACATAATCAGTAAATGGGTAAACTAACTTCCACTGAACCTTAGCACTCTTAGAACGTACGAAAGCCCCCGACCCAGCCCGTTGCATTCCAGCGATCACGAAATACGGAGCAGCCGAACACAATTAGAGCGTATTTAATGAAAATCAGAGCGCAGTAAGAGAGTCACACTGAGAGTTATACGAGAGTAGGCTCTCTCGTAGCCCAATTATGGAAATTATCACTGAAAATCAATTCGAAAAGCAATCAATTATACACACGGTAGCTATACCTAATGAAATGCCAAAATAGAAGCAATTTGCGAGACGTGTCGGAGTATAGAACTCACTTTGATATTTGTTCGCTGCTAATTATTTCGGTTTACTTATTTGGGACTTGTTCGTATTTAAATTGAAATTAATAAAGTTATATAATCCAAGAGAAAAAAGAACAGAATTGGATCACTGTTTCAGAACTTAAGGCCCGATTGCTATTTAACCTGGCAATTGGGGATATTTCGGATCTCTACTAAACATTTGTTTGTTCTTTGTAGCTAACACGAAACCCGATAATTTTTGATTCCATTTTGATTTGACTCTTCGTTTCTCATTTTACTTTATTTCGCACAGCAACAGAAAAACAACCATCTGTAGAGCCGCTGCCCCACTGGCCACAGTTCGAAATTTGCATCCTTCAGTTGTAAAACCAATGGCAATAAACAAACCGGTTGTTCAGATTAACTGGCTCCCCCGGACACTCGAATATACTCTCTCAGACTCTCTATAAGCACATAATTCACCTGCTAAGCCCGTAGTCCTGCCGCACCACTCACCATCTCTCATCTATATATTTGCAGACACATTGGAAGAGCCAGAACATAACTAGAAAGGCGCAATGCTGCCAGATATCATAGTAGCAGCATCCAATGCTAGTGTAGTGAAGGTTCCTTCTGCAAATCAAAGCTCCTCACCCTAGTCAGGACGTCTCGAGCCGCAAGAGAATTGTATTTTAGTAATTATTTTGTACATACACACGATGGACTTGGTTAACATGACGGGCTGTCCTTTCACCTGGTGAAGTGACACGAATCAGATTCGCCAAAGCGAATGGCCAATAAAGTTATTTGAAGCTCTCAACTGCAAAAATTAATCGAAAAGGGGCAAGTAGGTAAATTCCTCTTAAAAATTTGCCAAAATAACAGATATTTTTTAAATTTAAATCAGTTCAACAGGGTGTTTAATGTTATCTCTTGAAGTATGGTATATTCTTTAAGCCTTGGTATATTTTATTCCGATAAATCGATAAGCATGGCGCGGTTTTTACTTGAATTTAAATTTACTATGTTGAACCGTATACCGTAATTTTAAGATTTTTTATAGTGAAGTTATCCTTATTTTTAAGTTTGTTTCAACTAAAAAACACGATATTTTTACGTTTATCTTTTTTCTTTATTCCAAAATATTCTTTTATAAATAACCATTTTTTTAAAATACACTTAAATATACAAGCTTAATTCCTTCAAGGAAGTTTTTATATTTTCACTTGATTTTGTTATTTGAGGGCTACCGACAATATTAAGAAATCATTTGTATGAATATGGTTAGAATAAACCTTAAGAATAAAATATTAAATTATTAAAAATATATCTGAAAAAATATTTAATTGTAAAATATGTATAAAATATGTTTATACTTTTTCGTATTTTAATATATTATTTAAAATTTGTTAATTTACTGACGTTACTAAAGACGTCAGCCTAAAAACCTTCTTTGTACTGCGACTAACCATTTGTATTTGTATTTGGGGAACCCGTTGGTCTGCGACTTCAAGTGCCGACTAAGCGTCAGTTGTTTTCAGGCCGTCGCCGAGAGTGGACGCGTTTTGGCTCTTCAATAAAATAATTCGCGTCGTTTTATCCTCGGCTAATTTTCGCGTACAAATTTTAAAAAGCATTACTCAACGTAATCCAATGTAAGGAGTGAACATAAAAATCAATGCTATCTAATCTTTCCAAAGTGCATATGCCAATCAAAGTAATTTTCGCCATCAACGCGTTTTCCTTGAGGTTTCGAGTACTGTGGATTGGTTTTGTTTTGGCTTTGTCCACAAAGGAGAGCTTTTGTATTATGTTTGACCAGTCGGATGTGCAACAATGCCTCAAGAAGTGCTGGCGATTCAGCACGAAATAAAATAATCTAAATCGGCACCCAAATGCACTTGTAGTGTGGTGGACCAAAATGTGGATTATCGCTGAGTTAAATTTTATACTGTTGTAGCTTATCTTAAACATGTAGGGAACTTGAATTGCAAATGAGCTGATTATGATTTCGTGTTAATTGTTTTTAGTGTATATTAAATAATCTTTAATCTTCATTTTTGATAACTACTTTCTTTTAAAGAAGTTTCTAAAAAAATTTTGTTTAAATGTATTTCTAGTATTTTTTTTATTAATCCAAAATTAAATTAAATATATTTTATAGCCTTTTCAGTGTATGTACGACATACAAAATCTACATAATTCCTTAATTCATGTGGTAATATCACGTGCATTTGATTTTCATATAAAAATAAATCCCAGCTTTAATTGATCATATTCACTGCCAAAGCTTTAGAATAAAAAAACTCGACAATGTAATTTCGTTATTACAAAATAGCATCCGTCACAAATGCCGAATAATTTTTGTTAACTTGGGAAAATCGATCTCATTATTTAATTGCAATTAGCTTAATATTGATTCCCTAAACTCCCTCTTCAAAGTGTTCAAGAAAACACCCATCTATTTTTGTTGTCACTGACCTATGAATCCGATGATTAATTAAATGCAAATAAGTGATTAACCACTTTGGTCAAAGTACATGTTGTTCATTGCTGAAAAATACAGATTGCGCTTCTACGTGACGCGGTTACAATGCAATAATTACTGGAGAGTGAATTATAATGCGCCATCCTTAATTGGACGAGTGATTTGCTTTGCATTTGGGTTTATTTTCCTTATAGGAAATACGACATCGAGTAACCAATATTTTTATATGTTTATATTATTTCATTTTCTGACTGAGATTATATATTCGGGTTTTCTGTGGTTAACTGGTTTTTAACACATACTTCGGCCTTTGTTAATGATTGGTTATCTGTCAGAAATTGACGAATTATTTTTAAGTGATTTGTTTGAATAAAATTGCCGACTAGTTGGTTTCCTCGAGACTTGTATTAGTTAATTTTTCTGTATGCTAAGCGAGTTGTCTGGGGTCAAAAGTCTAGCCAAGCAATGTGCTTCTGTTGCCACCTGACGTCACAGAATTCACCGCATAGAATAGAAAATAAATCGGACAGTCGACGCGGAATTAGCATAAGTTGGTGAGCTGTAGATTGGCATGCATATTTAAGCTTTCAATTTGCCAATTTTTATCACCGCGTTGTTTATTTCCTCGTTTCGAATTAGTGTTCCTATGGATGCATTTTACCCATCCCGTTTTTCGTGTCCCGTAGAATTTCAGGATCTCTCGAATGGCTTCTTCTCCAGAATCCAGAACGGGTTTCTAGTTTGCATTTAGTCGACTGGCTGTCGGCGCCAGTTAATGTCGAAGATTCTGACGACGCCAAAAGCATTAAAAAAGTAAATAAGACAAAAACAACTCCAATTTGGCGTCACAAGTCGGCGAATTCTGGTGCTTTCAAAGTCTGTTTACCTGCCAGGCAGGAGCTTGTGATTTAGCTACTTGGAATGTTTTGAATAAATAATTAATAAACACCAATTAACATTTAAATAAGATAAATTAATCCCCGACAGATGTTATGAATTTAATTTATTGATCGCTGACAAAGATGCCTCTACGCTGAGAGACTTTAAGTAGAATTAAATCTGATGTTCTGCAAGTTGATAGTAATTGTTCAATTTAATCGCTTGCGGGCGAAGCGAATCGCAACTGTGAAAACGTGATAAATCTGCGATATGAACACAACAGCTCCACCCAGAAAGCGAATCGTTCGTGATCCGCCTGTCACTTTTGTCAGTGGTGCCGTCGATCAAGATGTTAGGTGGTGCTTATCATAATTCCCTATGAACTACACTACATAGTATACCTACTTATTTATTAGTATTTGTGTAAAAGGCAATTAGGTTTGCTTAATATTTTTGAAACCATTAGCCTTTTTATAAAACTTATATAATAATTATTAATAACTTAAATATTAGAATATCATTGGGTATATCATAGTCGCATATTCCGTACGCAATATTACGATATGGATGCGTTGCTAATGAAGGAACGACTTTAGAGCTTTGCGGTGCACTCTTTCGTCTCTTTGGTTCTTTATTCTGATGATCCTCTAGTTATTAATGGATTCTTTGTCGCATCTTTAATAAGAACTCTATATACAGATTAAGCCGGTTCTGTCGAGGGAATGTGATACATATACATGTGTAAATATATATGGGATAGAAGTCAAGGCCAGGCGAAAAGATCTGAAAGATTAAAAGAACGAATATATGATGTTAGTGTGTTGTACTTTCACCAATTTTGCAAATCAAGATAATTGCAACTCTTCCAAAAGAAGAAAAATATTTAATAAACCAACACCTAAGCTTTATTTGATTGGTGCCCATATTTCTGTTGGCCATCGACCTTATCGGTAATTGAGCAACTTGAACTTGAGTAAGATCATTGCAGTTAGCATATCATTTACATAGGCAAGTTTACATTCATAGTATTGCATAAATGTTCGATCTTAAATATTGTAGACCTGTAATCACCACACCCCTTTTAATAGGATAGGATTTTCTCTCTACCCTTACAATTTTCTTTACCCAATGAAAATAGCACTGTGATGACTAACTCGTCTAAATATATTTTGTTTTAACATAAAGAAACATTTGTGCAAATACACGTGCAGTTAGATTTACCCCAAAAAGCCTTTATCAGGTTGAGTTGCGAATTTCAAGGCCACCTGAAATGTTGATAAGTCGAATTAACTTTTGTTTCTTTTAATTTTGCCACAATTTTTCTCCCCGCACATGTCAAAATCTATAATGATTAATTTTTATTTGCAGCGCGTAAGCCGTCAGTGTGATCAAAACAAAACGGGCAATAAATCTGCAATCACACGACCATGCGTTCATAAAGAGGAACAATAACAAAATCAAAAGCCAGAAGCGAAAACACAACAGAAATAATCGCAACGCTGGCAAAAGTACAGAAAAAAAGAAGTGTAAAAAATATAAATAAATAACCGGGCGGCAGCAAGAGATCCAGCACCCATTCCCATTCCAATTCCGACTTTGGTGCGGTAGGTAATGACACATTCGGCAGCCAGCGCACGTATCTAGATGCGAGTGAGCATACGTATCTGAGTTCGTCAGTGAAAATCTCACAGTCGCTCCAATCCACCCGCCTTGCCACCCGCGTCGCTCATTAATATATGAGTTTTTGAAAGCGGCATTAAATAACGATAAACAAATCCATCAGAATTCGCCATGGATCCATCGCAAAACCTACTCGCCAAACAGTCCAAAGATGTGGAGTTCCAAGATGTCTTCTACACCGTTAAGGAGCGCAAGAACTTCTGTAAGTTATACGATCTTTGACTTATATCAGTATACTTATATGATTTGTAGTTGGTGAAGAATGCAATTATAATGAATTATTCAATCACAAATAGTTTCTTTCCCTTTAAGTACTGTATAACTAATGTGATTAAATTAATATACACCTGATGCATTATGGCAAATCTGACAATTACCTTTTCTGAGGTTAAGCTATTTGCTTTTAGTTTTATCTTAAACTGGTTTTCAGTTATTATTTCAGATTATGTTAGCAAATGGTTGTAACAATATTATTTCTTTATATTAAAGTAACGTCACTTTCAGTCACATTTGCTTCGCTCTTTATGATCTCTTATATTACCATGTTATTTAAGCAAGGGAGCTAGTTAGAGCACATTTAGTTTAATAGGTTAATTATGATTTAAATTTTTAAACTAACATAAAAGTGTTAATATGTGATAACGACACAAGTCCTTCATGGCTCCATTGCACAACGTCTGCAAAATGCCAAATATGTGTATGAAATGTGTTTCTCGGCTGCAGACTTTTTTGTTTGCATTCGAGTACATCAGAGTTGACTTTGTTTTATGTGCTGTGTGCAATGTTTCTTCGTCGGCGGAGGTAATGGTCTTGTAATGGACTGGTCAAGTAGTCGTCTGGCCAAGTGGTAACTGCTCCATAATTGTGGGGGCCAGCTGGCTTGCCATTTTGCCCTTTTCTTTGCCCCTTTTTTTCTAATGTCAATTGCCCAACTTGTTTAATTTGCTTAGAGGTTTCATTCAAAAATACATTCGTCACACTCGGCTGAAATGGATTGCGTTCTGGGCCACGTTTATGGCCACAACCCTGCGTTTGGTGTTGTGCCAATCGAGTTTTCCGATTCGGACAATGTCTCGCCTTGTTGGTCAAAAGTTCAATCCTAAGTGCGGATACTCTGGGCTTGCATGCCATTGACACAGAATCGAATCGAATGGATTGGATAATGTAATGCATTTGGCAGAACGACAAGTTCATTTGGTTGATTGAACCGAATGAGTGGAATTAAAACTGCCTATTGCCGGAATTTGATCACTTTTCAAATTGAATATGTTCATGATACAACGAGGACAGAGGAAGTTTAATCTTCAATATTTTTGTTTTTATATAAATAAAGTATTTATTAAAAAAACCATTAAACGAAGTTTTAGTTAGTTTTAAATTTAAGAAAATAAAATTCTAATTTATTACAAATTTCGACATATTTTAACACATTTTAGATACCTAATAGGTATTACCTATACATTTGTATTATACAAGACTAGTTAAGAGCTTCAACTGCCATTTCTATAGTCGTAATTCTTACTTGATTAGTTGTACCTAATATATTCAACAGGGACTGGAAAGTGTTTCCGACCCTACCAACTCATTCATATATTCTTGATCAGCATCAGGCGATCTAGCCATTAAATACCGGATATCTGCTATAGTTAATATATTTTAAAACATAAACCAAAATCTAGAAAGTAATTCCGATGTGCCCTTGTAATTTGAATTTCAATCTGTAACAATAGGCATATTCATGAGAGCTTTACAATCTATTGACTTAATCAGGTGCTCAAATTATATGTTTTAGGCATGCATTGGTCAGATGAGGAAATGCTTTCGAAACACTCACCAATAACTTAGTTTTTGCTACTACCTGTAGGTTGAAGCTGAGCTTCCTCATTGCAGAGTCAAACTCAAGTACGACTGGTGATTAATTATTGCTCATACGCCATGTGCAACGTGCAACTCGCAGTCAACCGCGAGATGTCGCCAAATGTAGTTGCCATGTGGAATATAATAATGAACGATAAAATGTAGAACAGTGCCTCTCATAAGGAAAGTTTTTGGTTTTTGCATGCTCTAATAAATTAACATTTTAATTCCAAATCAATTTAGGTATTTTTAAAAAATTAAAATCTAATGAGTTTTTAAACTGTAAATTAGGTCTCAGTCAGAACTAAAAAGCAATTCCTCAGTAGGTCAAGCAAACATTTGACTTTTGGGGTATCACGTGTTTGAAACGCACTGTACGAGTAAACAAGTACCCAGAAATCAGTATGTGGGCTTAATATTTAGTGTACATATTTATCTCAGCGCATACATATGTATATTCACACATCGCAGATACATTGCGACTTCCTCGATGTGCCCCGCATCAATGGAAACTACAGTAGTAGTAGTTGGCTGACCAAAGGCAGCGACAAAAACATCAGCAACCTCATCATCATCCTCAGCCCCATCATCATCACATCATCATCATCATCGTGATCGGCACCAGCAGCAACAATTGCAGCTACAACAGCAATATTATGTTGGCGCACAGTGAAAAGCGAAATTGCCCAACATTGATTGAATAATTTTCCCCTCCAAAAGTCTCCGAGCTTGGACACGTTTTATTTTATTTTTTTTATATGTTCCGCGACATGGCGCGCGCTTTTCCATTCCAAGTCCCAGTCCCCAGGGCAATTTGGGATTAGTCAGCGAGTCAATGTCCGGGTCTATCCAGTCAAAGGGGTTCAGTTTGACTATTGGGCTGTCAATTAAATGGAATGCAACTCTACTTCTGGATTTAAATTAGGATTGGTTATCACCGCTGGATCTTGCTATTCGGTTTTCCACTTTCTTTTTTATCGTTATTTACATAATATGGTTTTAGTTTTTAATATTAGTGGTGCATACAGAAGTACTAATTGATAATTCCTATCATACATTTAATTAATTGAAACTAGCAACCTTCCAACCCTTCGAATTTAGAACCAATTATCTCAAAGGCCCCTTATGCAAGTTGAATAATTCAAGCTGGCTATTTATTCTGACAGATGTCAGCAGTATTGTGTAACTTCAATGATTAATAAGGGCTAGGTGGGCCACTTTACATAACAAAGATCAGAGATCGCATATTTCAGGGAATAAGGCAGAACCTATTTCTATAGGCGGGTGTGAGTATTGCATTTTAAGTCGCTTATATCAGGCCAAACGCGATTGACATGCTAATATGAAATCGTGTTAATTAGGTAGAGACGATTCAATTGCTTCAATTAGAGAACTCGTCTCTTTCCTCCCTATCCCCTTTTTATTCTCCCAAAAAGTGACTAGAATTCAGAGATCTCTATACTCAATTAATGAAATCTGTTTGTTTGAGGCGCAGTTTCGTTTATGGCTTAAACTGAAATGGAAATCTGAAATTTAGATAACAAATTTCGGAATATTTTTTGCTGATACTGAAAAAGGCGTAAAATGAACGGAACACAATGAACCCCTTTTTTGTGGTCTGAAAAACAGCAAATCAGCTTTCCGTATTATCGTCTGAAAGTTAATTTTCCCAACAAATTGTCACGCCTCATTATGTGACTCACGTATAATCGTGGGAGTAGCGGTTCACAGTGTTTGAGGAGGGGGAGCAGGCCAATAAATCAGCCAAGCCAACGTACTGTTGATTGTTCGACGGTTTTGCTGAATTTTTATGGTTCTGACCGCTGCGCGTGCCCAGAACGTGATAACCAGAAAGCTCGAACGCCGGCGTTTAATTGATATGATATGGGGCTAATTGATATGGAGACCGGTCGCTGGTAAACACCCTATGATAATAGGATTTGCCACAGACTCCGACTTGTCAGTGACCCCCTTGAATTGGTTCGCGAACCGCGAATCGGTTGAGCAATGAATGCTAATTGGCCGCGAGAACTGGGGCATAGATATCTGTTATTTACATACGAGTATTTATGTACAATTAGCATACAGGAAGCCCAACTTTTCGAATAATCATTTTCTAAAAATCAGAAAAATTTTGATTTTGACTAAATAAGACTTGTTATGATATAATATTGAAACTTATTTTATATGAATATTATATTCATTGTACTTTAAGTGTTTTTAGCGTTTTCAACTTACAATTTATGAATACATTTTTAATAAAGGTTCTCATAAATTTATTGATCTTGCTATCAATATAAATCAATGTTTATTATATGCTTTACTATAATCTTAGACAGACATTGACATTAGAATACAATGTAGTTGAACCTATTGACACTATTGAACAGCACTTCCGTGTATGTATAATTCAATATTTTTTAATGTATTATTATCATTAATAGTTGGTGTCAAGAACAGACCTTTCTTCATCATAGGGTCCACTCTTTGTTAAAATTGCAAACGAATATGAAACCTAAGAATCAATTATTGCATGAACCATTCAATCACGACCTTCGGTAATACCCCATATTATAGTACGGCTGCACTGCTGATAAGATTAAAATTGCAAACGAATATGAAACCTAAGAATCAATTATTGCATGAACCATTCAATCACGACCTTCGGTAATACCCCATATTATAGTACGGCTGCACTGCTGATAAGAAATATGGCATTGGCACATATTAACTCATATGTGCATTGAGACTGACAGATCGTGAAAAATGCAGGTCAGGTTCGTACAGCGATAGTGAGTAATTGCTGTGAAAATAAAGAAATAAATACATTGGTATTTTTTTAAAGCTACCAGATCTTTCCCTTTAAATTTTTCCTCCAATTATGAATTTTTCCACACCCAAGCCCAATTTTAATTGGAATAAATTATGCACGTGCGAACATCTATAATTGAGGGTTTCAGGCAAACCCATGGAATTCGACTGCCAGACAGCGCGGAAGCTGGTTTCACTTGTGCCAGTCATGCAATCTTCTCAAGCCGATCATCTGTCATCTTGGTATCTTTCCGCTGCCAACCCATGACATGAAAATTATTAAAAATATTTTTGCTGGATTCTCAAGCTATTTTTATTAACCCTCTCTATTCTTAGCTATGCATATCTTTGTATCCCCCAAATTAATAAAAAGGGAAATGATTTTCTAAGTTCATTAAAAAACGAAACTTAATTTATGTCAATTCGCATCTTTATTATTTCATCTGTCGCATTAGCAAATCGTTCCAGATAAACCAGAAGAGTAAACGTAATAGATTGAATATATTAAACCAAGATTGTTTTTTGTTGTTCTATGACTCATTCACCGTATTAATAATTTTCAAAGCTGTTTAACATATTCTAGTTTGAGTGAAAAAAAAACTTTTAAATATAAATATTTGTAATGATTTAATTAATTTATTAAAAATCCTAATTAACCGATTATTTAATTTATTTTTAGGGCGTGTAACCGGAGAGCGTCAAATTTTGAACGGAGTCAGCGGCAGTTTCCGGAACGGGCAACTCTCGGCCATCATGGGACCCTCGGGAGCCGGAAAAAGCAGTTTGCTTAATGCGATTTCGGGTTTCAGGTGAGAACAATAAACCAAACCAGACTCGCTTGCATTCGACGTTATGATCTTAAACGTCATTCGAACTCAAGTGTAACAAAACAAAAGCTATATAATTTGGGGAGCTGAAACTTAACCGGTTCTATGCTTAACAGACTGGTGATTAAAGCCAAGATCTCGGATTCTTGATTCCGAATTCATTCTCAAATGCGAAACGCCAACTGGGTTTTGTAGGGTTTTGGGGGGTGCGGTGGTTGGCCAACTAACGTCTCCAGCAATATGAATCCAGTCTGGACCTTCAAAACAAATGTCGTACATTTGCTTAAAACTTACGTTTCCTCAAAGCGTTGTGGAAACTTACAGATTTAAATGGAGCTTCAGATTTGCAAAGTCACGAAGCTACGCTTAAAAAATAATTGTGATGAAAAGGTTGTCTAGACTTGATTGGAGATTTCTATATTTTGCTTGCTGTTAAATTAAATAAGTATTTTAATGCCGAAGGGAAAAAGGTAAAGACCTAGTAGTAACCTTAAACAGAATTTAGAAATCTTTACCCAAACATAAGAAGGTATTCCTATTTCATCTAATAATTATCAAGTATAACCGAGAAAATCTTACAAAGAGGGTCTACCTTTTAATCCTTTTCAGGCGCGATGGCGTTACAGGCAGCATAAAAATCAAGAGGGACAATGCCTGCTATATAACTCAGGACGACCATCACCAGACTCTGCTGACAGTCGAGGAGCTAATGAATCTCGCCTGTGACCTCAAGCTAAAACATCTTCACAAAAAGGCAGAAATCATGACGGATATCCTGGAGAATCTGCACTTGAATCACAGGCGCAATGTGACAGCAGAAAAGCTGAGCGGTGGGGAGCGGAAGCGACTGTCGATTGCCTTGGAGTTAGTGGACAATCCGAACATCTTCTTCTTGGACGAACCAACCAGTGGCCTGGATGAAGTGACGGCCGCCCAGTGCATCCGGTTGCTGCAGGCGATGGCCAGAGAAGGTCGGACCATTGTCTGCACCATCCATCAACCTTCGGCAACGATATACAACTACTTCGATAGCATCTATGTCCTGGCTAAGGGACACTGCGTCTACCAAGGCAGCCCGAGAGCCACCATTCCCTTCCTGCGACTGGCCCAGCTTGACTGCCCCAGGCATTACAGTCCCTCGGATTACAGTGAGTTGAGCTACATGAATCTAATCATAATTTGTAAGAAATGTAAAAAATAACTATAATTTTCTATATCAACTCAAACCCTTGAAAATGGCATACTTTATTAGACATTTCTTCTAATTATTTTACAGTTATTGAACTGGTGGACGCCGAGGATGGCCATTTGGTTCCATCCCTCAGCGAGCTGACCGAAAATGGCAAGCTGATCTATGTGTCCAGTCAGTCGGACCAGTTGGGTGCGACGCTGGCATCTCAGCAGGCGGTCACCACGATGTTTGTGGAGCAGCAGAAGCGTCCCTTCCTGCCCGCCTTTTTCGCCGGCAGTGCCGCCTCCACGGATGGTTCGTTAATTGGAGGAACCAGTGCCCTCTTAGAGCAAGTGAAGGCCTTCTCCAGACGCCTCAATACGGATCGGCGGGATGTATCGGGACTGCGGCAGTTTGTGGTTCTCATGCGGGTGATGCTGCTGCGGATAACTAGGGCAAGATTGGCCCTAACCATCCAACTATTCCACCATCTCTTGTGCGGCGTGTTCTTCGGCATGATATTCTTCCAGCTGGGAAACCAAGGTGCCCGTATGTTCGATCATCTAAAGTTCTGCATCGGTGCCGTCCTCATGATTGTCTACACCCAGGTGATGGTGCCCATCCTGAGCTGTAAGTATAATGAGTTATTTCTTTGGAATATCTAGTCATAATATTTTTATCCTGCAGATCCCGCTGAGGTGAAGGTGGTCAAGAAGGAGACCTTCAATCGCTGGTATACCCTTACACCATACTATTTGGCCTTGACGGTGTCACGTCTCCCAGTTCAGGTGCTTCTAAACATCACCTTCATGGCGGTCACCTACTGGATGTCCGGATTGCCTCAACAGTTTTGGCGCTTTGCTATTTTCGTGGCCGTAGGACTAATGATATCCCTGGTTGCCGAGGGGATGGGCCTGGCTATAGGTGCCACTTTCAGCATAACGGTGAGTTTTCAATCTAAGAAATAAGATAGTTGTAACTTCTGAGGTGTTTAAGGTATACTTTTGGGCTAAACAACCTGTTATTTTTTCGTTCCAGAATGGCAGTGTGGTTGGACCGATGATGATTGCCCCTCTAATGGGACTGGCGGTGTACGGTTTCGACTTTGCGCCGCAAATTTCGGGCGGAATGCAGCTGCTTATGAAGTTCAGTTACGTGCGCGTTGGCGTGGTTTCCCTGATCTTAGCCGTCTTTGGATTTCAGCGAGAGGAGCTCGACTGCGATGATATATACTGCCACTTTAGCGATCCTCGCGTACTTCTCAAATTCTTAGACGTGGAAAAGGTGTCCATGCTTCACCAGTTCGGACTGCTGGCCATGCTGATGCTCTTCTTCCGAGTGATGATGTACATTAGCCTGCGAAAGCGTTGCTATGCCTAATTTTGCAAATAATACTCCAAATGAATCTTATTCCCTAGTTGTAGCCAATGTCAATGCTGTGATGTTCGATTTTAGACATTCAGATATATACTCCTTGTACATACTTAAGCACCATTCCCCTGACAGGATAAACGTTAAACGTTAGCCCTAAGTTAGCCTTAAGTTAGATTCGATCAAGTCGCCTTAAATAGTTGCAAATGTTTGCTGATAAAAGGCAAGCTAATTTTATACAGACACCGTGGTTAAAGTGATTTCAATTCGAATTATTCAAGAATAAAAATGATATTTTGGCTATTCCATATTGCGATGTTTGTTGTATTGGTTTAAGAAGTGTGCAACTAATAGAAGAAAAGCAGCCTTTAAAGTTTGACATAAATCCCACAAATTTAATGCACCCAAAATTTTAAAATTAGAATTGTAGTGCATTTATTTTTGCATGCCTATCGACTCAATTCACTTATTTTCTATGGGGGAAATAAAAATGTAAAAAATATATTTCCTTTAAAAAAGCTTAAAACCGTTACGGGTATAATGTTTTAAGCTGAATTCCATAAAGAAGAGACTTCTTTTTTTAAAGTAATATTTCGAATGGCATTAAGGAAATCAAAATAGTTATACTTCCGCCAATTCACCCTGTCAGACGCAGGCTCCAGCATGGAATTAATACCGGAGGTCATCGATGATGTCATTGTCTTTTTGAAAAGGTCTTGTAGCGACGCCAGCTCCTCCTTGGTGGTCACTGCTTTAATAAAGGGATTCAGGATCGCCTTGACCTCGTTGGCAGTGTAGCTATAAGGTCGATTATGAGTTGATAGGACTAAGGACACCAAGTGCTCTCAAAATACTCACCGTCGCAGGACTTCCCCCAAGTTGTCGAACAGAAACTGATTGCCCACATAGAAACCCAGGTAGGTGTGCATAACGGCGGTAAAGAGATCAACTGTCAGCGCTTTTGGCACCTTTTCGTCGTCGAAGGCCCAATTGAGCAACTTTTGCATCGCCCAATACTCCGTAGTGCAGGTGAGTGAGTTAAGGAGGATTCCCTTCTCCTTAATTTCAGTGGCATTGAGGAACATATCACGCACTATTTGCCAGTGATCTTCCAATCCGTTGCGGATGCCCTTGCACAGTACGGTTTCTTGCAATTCCACCGGTATGGAGGATATGTTTTTCTGTTCCATCGCCGTCGCAAATCGCTTCTGTGCATCCGTCAGGCATTCATTGATTTCGAACTGACACGCCAGCCGGTACAGGATCGTCGGCACGGATAGTTTCGGTAGCGGTGTCGGAATATAAGGACTTGTCCTGGCTGTCGTTGCAAACTTTTTTAACGTTTCCTTAAACGAAGGCTCAATGAGTTTGCGCATGAAGAGCTGTAAATAAACATGAATTAGTGGAAAATATCGGGTTGGTGTCCCGACTATCTAATACTCAGCTGAAGGGAGTGCGAGGGAAATGGATATATAACATATTTTTGAAATTTCTCCTACATTTTGATAGGTATAAATATACACAACAAAATTGCATTTATACTTTTCGGAAATCTTTAAAGGTGTGGGCGCCAGAATCTTTTTAAAATCGTATAACAATTACGAACACCCACCTTAAATATCCTATATCCTGTAGTTATTCTCATGACATCCTGCAACTTTTCTAAATTAGTAAGAGCCGTTTGCCAAACAGCAATGCTGGTCTCATTTGGAAGATACTTGACAACGCTTAGGGCAACGCTATAGGGTAGTTGACCCGACCAGGCGAGGTTGAGGGCATCATCCACCAACTGGGCTCGGCTGAGCTCCGGGATCTGGGTGAAGTTCTGCAGCAGTGCCTCAGTAATCAGCCGCCAGTTAGAAAGATCGTAGAGAACACGAAGAGGTGCTGCGGCATCCACATTAAACAGCAGCCACTCCTGCGGTTCAACGACGTTGTTTAGAGTCAAGATTTCCGCTTTCTTATTCTGACAGCCAAGCCACTCCACCTGAGCAAGCGATACCTTCTTGGAGATATAGATCACCGGCAGCCACCAGCAGTCTTTCGATGCGATGGTCATTTTTCTCTGAAAGTAGCGGCTCTGCGTTACGGTCACCTTGTGAGTCTTGTCGTCGCGCAGAACGGAGAGTGCAGGGTATCCTGGTTGCCTAAGCCACGACTCCATGACAGTGGTCAAGGCCACGCCGACGGGCAGCTGGTGAGTTCGGCGTGCCGCTCGTTGCAAATCCTCCCAAAGCTGCTTGATTGAAGCGGAGGAATTGGCGTACCGCTGGACGAATTCCTGCAATCCCTCAAAGAACCCCTTATCGCCGATGGCCAATCTTATCATGTGCGTGATCAGGCACATCTTGTGCTTGCGAAACTTATCGTGTCCGTTTTCCCTCGCATCGACTGCAATGGCCTTCGATTCGAGCAGCGAATCATAGCTCAAGACATCCAGGCGGGTGGTCAGCAGGTGGGTCTTGTTATACTCCCCCTTGTTCGGCATGGCCAGCGCCTGCAATGCCAGATATTTGTTGATGCCGTCGCGCACGTATCCTCCATCCCAGTCGGATGCGCTCACCAGTAGTCCGTTCCACTGGCTGGCCAACTGCTCCGCCAGCAATTCCTTGAGACTAACGAGCGTCGTCTCGTTGGGATCCACTTCATCCTCTCCCAGCACCATGAGACCTTTGCCACTATACACTTTGGCATAGCCCGGAATAACCAGTTGATCGAACTTGCCACCCCAATCCGGTCCACTTGGCAATGGCTGGGCGAACAAAGTCTCGTAGTTGGTGAGCAGCTCGGGCGTCATATTCGCTACATTGGCCAGCTTTTCCTTCAATTGCCAACGCGCCCAAACGGTGACGTTCTCTCCCGTTTTGGTGAGGCTACTGGAAACTTTGTCAAGGCGGTGCAGAGCCCACATGACCTGGTAGGTAGCCAGCGGCGGTGTTCCCATGAAGGTCGTCCACACATAGTCGTCAATCTCATCGCTGCAAGTAAGGGATACTCATTATAATACCTTATATGTTATTTCTTTCTGGGATTTACTTACTGCGGTGTCTGTCCTGTGGCGGGCATATTGCTGAGTGCAGTATATTGCTTGTGGTGCACCATGGTTAGGTTGAAAGGTGTCCTGTAGAGTGGGCTATCGAAGCAGGGAAACACGGTGTGTGCGTAGTCCGGCTCGAAGCGCGTTAGTGCATAAAAGATTTGCGGCGTTCTTTCGTAATTTCCCGAAAAGTAGCCGAACTTCTTCGGCCTAGTTAAACCGCCAGTAAAGAACATGTACAGCGTGTATGTCTCTCCGATTCTCAGAGGTAGTCTGAGAATTACTTGAATTTCGCCGGATTTATTCGGAGTTTTCTTTATCTCGACTGCATTGATATAATGACCGGTAACCCATCGCGTCACATATGTTTTCTCCAAGTACATGTTTAGGTCGCGGGCGTTAAGATAAATATATTTCGAGGCTTTCATCGCTTTTATGTCGATGGAAACGATTCCCTCATATTCCTTCTGGACACCGTTCCCCAGGTGCGTGAGGATCGTCAGATTATAACGCAACGGCGTCACCGAGGATTCAGCGACTTTTCCCGGTGACAAACTCAAATATAAGAGGACTATTCGCAGCAACATTGCGATCGCAACTGCTAAACGGAATTTGTCAAACTGTGGAAATTTTAATTCTTAAGCGGATTAAGGAAATTGCAAATTTCTCGCCGTTTCACGGTTATTCTTAAGAGTTTCTAAGATCTTAAGAGAGTATTAAATCTGTAGGTGGGAAATAGCCGTTGGAGTAAGATCCCCATTCATAAAATAAAATTAGCGGAACCAATTTAAGAATATTTTAAATATTTTAAACAACCACCACGAGTATACTGTTGAATGGACTAAGAGCAGGTGTATTTCACATGTTGGTTTAATTAAATAGCTGTGCCGATTCCACAGCCAATTGGTATAGTATTTACAATAAAGAAATTATCTTAACTTAGGATGCATCGCATTTTTCGGGGGATAATTAGGTTTAGGTTATTCAAAAAATGAGTTAGTTATAGTTTCCAAAAAAATATCGCCAGGTAGTACTAACTAGCTTAATCAAATCATAAAAATATGAAAATCTTCATATTAAGCCTTCTTTTCTTATGATGCACCCAAGATAAAAAATGGAAATAAACTAATAAGAACTTAAACTCCTTGCTATATTACCGATATTTAAAATAAAGACGGTTCTACTTCTTCATGCTGCCCATTTTCTCCTTGCGCTTCTTCACGTGCTTTTTCACTTTGACTTTGCGCTGCTCGGCTTTCGCATCTTTTACGGCCTTCTTGCGAGCCTTTTTACTTTCCGGAGACTCCTCTCGCGGTCTTGCAGAATTTTTAAATCGAGTAGCATCGTCGTCGTTGTCGTTATCCTGAGAATTTTCGTCTTCGCTTTCGCTCGTATGGGCGTCACTACCCTCCCCGTTATTGCCTTTTGTAGACTCAAGCACGTCTGGCTGCTGCTGCACATCCAGATCTGATGTGAGACCTGTGATCTTGCCGTAGATGAGATTTTGCTGCACACCCTGCTTGGCCTTGGCCACATCCCGCTCAAAGTGACGCACCTGCAAAGGGAATTCTGGTTAATAAAATGGCTTTGGATGAGTAACAAACTAGGAGATCTAACCTCATCCAGTCGCTTGGGAATGTAGGTGTTCTGCCACACGGCCTCGTCGATCTTCTCCTGCGCCGAGATGGCGTCAAAGTCACGGTCCTTGATCCGCTCCGAGATGCGTTCCAGGCACTCCTCCATGTTCTCCGCAGTGATGGTCTGGTCAGTGATGAAGTCGAACAGCTCCTTCACGGTCATCGTGGCCACCGCCCGCTTGCGGAAAAACTCGGATATGTTGGTGCAGTCCTTGCGCAGAAAGTCGAAGGAATGCGGATGATCGTGCTCCACCGACTGGCTGACGTCGATGATCACCAGCTGGCCGTCCTGCAGCAGGATGTTGAACTCCGACAGATCGGCGTGCACCAGGCGACACTGGTTGTAGATGCGCCACATGATGACCACGCAGTCCCTGTACAACTCGCGCGCCTTCGAGGTGCTCAGCTCGACGTCCTTTAACTTGGGCGCCGGCCAACCGTCGCGGCCGCAGAAGCGCATGACCAGGACGTGCGAACGCAGCAGGATCGGCTCCGGGACTGGGACGCCGGCATTGCGCATTCGCAGGTAGTTGCGCATCTCCTTCTCCGCCCAGGTGCGCACCATTTTGCGCGGATTATGCTTGCAGTAGCCGTGCCGGAAGCGGAATTCGCCGGACACATACTTGTCGCGGTCCTTGAACACCAGAATGGATGTCTTGTAGATCTTGATGGCGAACTCCTCGTCGCCGTTCTTGGAAACGGCATGGTAGACGTTCGCCTCCTTGCCCGTGGAGATGCAGCCGTTGATTTCCTGTATGAGACCGCGATTGAGCAGCTTGAAGAGAATCATCCGGGTGCGAGGATCCATCACCTGCTCGGCGGTGGCCCTGTCGTGCTTGTCGCGCACCTGCGTCCTCTCCCGCCGATCGAAGTTCACCAGCCGGTTGGCGGCCTGGGCGCTCATGTTGGTGGTGGGATCGTACTTCTCTACGTTGATGCGGGCGGAGTAGCGGCGCAGCAGCTTATCATTGGGTTGGTAGCTGCTGACGCGCTGCGAGCCGCCTCCGCCGGAACCTCCTCCTGTGCCGCCGCCGCCACTGGCGTTGGTCAGCTGCGGCTGGACATGCGCCTTGTTGAAGCCCGTGTAGGCCTCCTCGTACGCATCGTAGTCATCGCCCACATCGTCGTAGTCCTCGTCATCGTAATCCTCCTCCTCCGGCTCCTCCTCCTCGTTGGCCAGTTCTATGACTTGAGCCAGGTCATCGCTGGCCTCCTTGGGCGTCAGCTTTATGTCCTTGAAGATCTCGTGCTTCACTGTGAGGGTCTTGAAGTCGTTTACCCACTCGGACTGCAAAAAAGGATGTTTTTAAAGGATTTCATTGCCAGTTGATAGCTACTTCGCTTACATTCCGCAGGTCTTCCTCGTCCTCCTCGGCGTCGCTGTATTTGTGCCGATCGTCGTTCATCTTGGTGCATGCAGTAATTACTGATTCGAATTAAATTATTTATTCTTTTTATATCAAAAGAGCTTTTGAAAAGTCGCGAAATTGAAGACCAAAAATTTCACGAATTACCGAAACCACCACACGTGTTGCGAATGCCATTCACAGCGGTACGTTGACTTTGTTTTGGTATTTTTCAGGGACTGTTATCTGTGCAGTATTTTTAGAGGGGTATTCCCAACATTTTCAGATTTCAAAGAATTTATTTTTCTAAACTTTTAAAAAGCATATAAAATTAATACATTTTTTAAAGGTTAGAGAAAAAATATTATTTTTTTTTATATTAATATTTTAATTTTTAAATTATTAAAGTTGAACGCGTGACAGGAATACCCTAAGTACGAAACCAACAGTATTTAGTTATTTAGTATTTTTCGTCTACACATGGCAATTCGCATTTCAAAACAATGAAGTAAACGATTTCTGATTTGCGTAATTGAATAATTTGGCGACATGTTCGTGCTGGCGGAGCTGAAGGACAATGTGCGAATTGCGCCGGACCAGTTCCACCTGAAGTTGGTGGACGCCGTGCGCGACGAGATCGACCGCAAGCTGGCCAACAAGGTGGGTTGCATGTGATTGCCATGCAAGGTCCTAATTCCTGGTTTCCTTTGCCGGCAGGTCCTGCTCAACGTGGGCCTGTGCATGGCTCTGAAGGATATAGTTTCCCTGAAGGACTCCATCATCCTGCCGGGCGACGGAGCCTCGCACACGGAGGTGCTCTTCCGGTATGTGGTATTCCGGCCGATGGTGGGCACCGTGATCACCGGAAAGATACGGAACTGCAGCCGGGAAGGCGTCCACGTGACCCTGGGCTTCTTCGACGACATCCTCATCCCACATGCCGCCCTGCAGCATCCCTCCCGCTTCGATGAGGCCGAACAGGCGTGGGTCTGGGAATATCCACTGGAGGACGGCGCCAAGCACGATCTCTTCATGGATGTGGGCGAGCCCATCAAGTTCCGCGTCTCACGGGAGATCTTCGAGGAGACGTCGCCCATCGGACCGCCCAAGGCGGAGGCTCAGTCGCAGCAGGGACCCGGCACATCCTCGGCAGCCGCATCTGCCTCCTCCCAGGAAACCAAAACCCCTTACAGGATTATTGTAAGCCTTTGTGCGTCTTAGAAAGTGATTTATATTCATTGTGTGTCTTTTTCCCAGGGTGCCATTAACGAATCCGGCCTGGGCGTGCTCTCCTGGTGGGATCAGCAGGGCAAGGATGAGGATCAGGACGAGGAGGAGGACGATGAGTACGACAACGACGAGGATGGCGAAGGCGCCTGCGAGGAATAACCCTGAAACTTACTCAACTGTATGATAAATCCCCCCAACTATTATTAAGAAGTCGATTTAAAGTAGAACGAGCAATGAATGTTTAACTATAAATCTTAGATTCAGACTGATTAAACGCAGATTTTTAAAAAAATGTTTAACTCAGCTATGTTTTGGATTTTATTTAATTAAATTAATTAATTATTGACCCCTTTGAGCTAAGATATAATAGAAACACCTTCGAATTCATTTTACCATTTATTTATTTTATCATGTACTTGTAGAGTTGTGTTCTTGGTTGTTTAAGACTGCAGTTTCCAATCTCCATTTGCTCAATGTTCACGATGAAACTCTCTCACATTGGATTTAAAAACAAAGCATTTACATTAGGTTTGAGTGAGGGCTTTACTTAATGAGGAGAGCAGCTCTATAACGTAAGCTAGATATATAGAGTATCTTTGACGGCCAGAAGTCGATTGTTCAAGATTCGCAATTGCAGTTTGCAACCTGACAACAATTTGCTAAAGTGTTAAGTATTGACTTCATGGCTAACGTGCACATTTCTGTCACCGATTCCTTGCTTAAAATACTTTCAGTAGCCGTTAGATAATTACAGATTAGTCATATGGTACAATCGAAGGTTTCACTGGTCAGGGGCTGCAAAAGTCTAAGATTTGTAAATTTCAATTGCAATTTCAATCTAAAGCTGCCGGCAACTTTTGCACGTTTTCACTATGCTCGTAAATATTTTCATTTTTTGTGGTTTTGCTTCTTTGAACTAATGTAAGTTAATTGCATATTTTGATTCACTTTGTATTTTGTAATTTGTAATTTCTATTTGTTGTTTGTTCGTCTTTTGGGCGCAATGTTTTGTTTTAATTTTTTGAGTTTGTTTCTTTCAGTAATTTACACGTAGACTGTATGTTTTAGTTACAGCGAGAGTAGTAAATAAAACGTTCGTTAAAAACTACAATAATATAAATAATGTATATTTATAAATATAAATATATTTATGTATATGTATATTAGACATATCGTATTGCATGTAAATAAATATCATCTTCGGGTCTTTTGTGGTACATCATCGTCTTAAACAGATCAACTTAACTAAGTTCCGTATCAAATCACAGCAGAAATCATAAAAAGTCTAAAACTATAAGGGATAGAGTACAGTGTTGACGGAAAGTTAAAGTCACATAGCACGCGAGGAACTTGCCGACTGGAGGTTAAGTGTACCAAATTAGCATACTCGAATGCTGAAACGAACCGAACCGAAAATCAGTGCTCCGTGAGCTCCAGGGATCCGCATCTGCATCTGCATCCACCCATCGATTATTCGATGATCAGGCAACGGGGCAGGTGCTCCTTCAGGTAGTCGAACAGTTCGTGCGACGCCCCCGGGCAGTTGGTCAGCTCCAGCTCCTGCAGATGCCTCAGCTGGATCAGGCTGGACAAGCCCGAGGAGGTGAGCAGGGGACATCCGGCCAGGGACAGCACCTGGAGGTTCCGCATCGAGCACAGGTGCTGCAGCCCAAAGTCACGCACCTGGGAGCACCAGCGCAGGAAGAGGGCGGTCAGCGACAGCATCGTGGAGATATATCCCACGCCAATGTCCGTTATGTGCACGCATCTGAAAGGTACAGAAAAGGGGCACCTATTATAAGGATTCAAGATCAGTTCGATATAGATTAGATATTCATATTATTATCATGCCTAACACAAAGTCTTGTGGTGTCTAGTCAGGCATCCATTGATTGAAAGAGTTATCCTAGATGGAAATATCCATTGCGAAGTTTAATTCAAATCGCAAGTTATGAAACTTTAAACTGCGATATACTGATTGGATTGTACAACTCCAACAAATTTTAATACCAGGGAGACGCGAATGCTCAAAAAAATTGCCTTCTGAAGGCTCTGAGACCCAAAGTCTTAGGAAATTTTATTTATGGTCGTCTAGAGATTGCAGCGGTAAAACCATAAAATATTATTTTCTGTCCAATATTAATAAATTTAATTTCTTAGCCAATAGCTGACAGTGGGTATCTATAACTAAAAAAAAACTCTAAATGTTTATGTGACATTGGGCACGGATGTGGAAAGGATATATCCATATGTGTGCGAGAAATGGAATGGAACCCATTTTTGCAAAAAGAGTTTTGTTGTGACTTAACTGGCTGAGACTGGGCACAATCAGATTGCAAGGAGAGTAGCAAGAATGTGTATAAAACTTTGCACTGAAAAACCCTTTTATATAATAAAAAAAGAAAATATAAAAACTTTACCCTAACTTAACATTACTGGTAAAAACATATAATGTTACATTTATATCTGCTGTAAAAACAGCGGCCCTTCGAATGATATACCTGTTCGTATATTAAGTTAAAAAATTCTTTTAAGTGCAACTTGCTGCAGTTTCCGACGACTAATGGTTGCCGCCGGAGATGAGGTTCAGCTACTCGGCGACGGAAATTGAATTTTACTCATGAATAATTACGGAATCGGTAGGGCCAGCTGGCAAGTGCAGTGGGAGGAGCACCCGACCTTGTTCCCCCGGCAATCGTACTCACCTATCCAGTGTCAGCTCCTCCAGCTGGTTCAGATCACAGGCGATATACTCGAGCGAGGCGTCCGTAATGCGGGGACACCAGGACAGGTCCAGGGCGCGCAGTTTCTGCAGGTTCTCGGCAATCAGCTCCACTCCATCGTCCGTCAGTTTGCTGCAGCCGGAGAGGCTCAGGACCGTGAGATGCGGCAGGGAGTGAACTGCAATCGGAAGGAGAGGAAGGCAGAGTTTGGCATTAGTTTTGGGTATCAGCTGGGACTTAGAAGCATTCGCCTCACGTAGCCGGCTGCAGATGCTCCATTTCGCAGGGAGCACGTCCCGGGAAATAAGTCCTCCATCCGCAGTCGGAACATAAGTATGTTTGCGCCGCTAATGTTCCCCATTGGTGCCTCGAGTTGGCCCCGTTTAAATCTCAATTTAAGGGTACAAGTTTTCGCCTAAGTTTCAGTTTTTCAACCCATAAAGTACAGAATAAAATTCTGGGTCAACTTCAGTTAATAAATTGTAGGTTTCTAGAACCTTGCAAAAAAAATATATATAAACATTAGAAAATTATTAATATTAGAATTCTTGTATCCTTTTATGTATTAAAGATTAAGAATAAAATGTTATAATAATTATAACCAATTAATCTATATTTTTAACTGTCGAAAGATAAAACGTGATGAACAGAATCCTATTGACATAAATACCCAAATTTCTGAAATAAAAATTGCTGTCGACATAAAATATTTCTAAACATTGAGCCAAATGTGAGCTTGAAAGACATACAATCCAAGTAATTAGGATTTGTGGTTACTTATAAGAACCCATTTGCATAAAACTGACTTGCTCCACATTTTTTTTGCTAAGCTCTATTCAGTCTTGAGATAGACTAATGTGTTATGTATCTAATTACAACGGCTGGCTATTTAAAGCACACAGTCTCAGCGCTGTTCTACTTAAACTGAAACTGAGGCAGTTTCTCAGCTCGTTCCATTTATGTCGACTTCAGTTTGCCCTGTTCCACATTTTGCTGTATCATTTTGTGGCATGTTTGTCCTGCTTTTCCTTTGCTCAACTCTCCTTGCGAATCACGGATTATTTGTCCTTTCTGTGGATAAAGACAGTAACCCTGCTTTGTTGGCTTAGCTTTTGAGTTTGGAGCGCGTGGGGATTATTTGGGGACAATTGAGGAAGAATAAATGGAGAGGTTTTCTTTAAATTTAAAGAACAATCTACTGCTACCTTCATAAATGTTCTATTCTTACAGTAATAATGTATATAAACTAGTAAACCAACTAACAGAAAACCAATTGCTTACATTCATGTTCCTGATTGATAACCGATTGTCGGACAAACCGCAAACAAATAAATCAAATTGTTTGAGTAGACATCATCAATCAAAATATTTTCCCAGAAAGTCAAAGAGTTGACTGCGACTGCCGATTATAGATAACCGATGAGGGATAACGGACAACTTATAATGGGTAACGTTAGTACACGAAGTGCAATTACCGCTCGAAAGCCGCTTAGACTTTGCTAATGGGAATTAGGCATATTCCCTTGGCCAGAAGTGAGAGGTGGATGTGTTTGGAGCCCAAGAAGAGGCCACGTGCGGCGGCTGCGTAAACAAAGATAAAGCGCCCAAAGAAAACAAACTCCAAGGCAATATAATGCGTGTGTATGTTTGCGGGAAACTCCCATCCCATCCCTATCTCCATCCCCATTCCCCAAACACTTCATCCCTTTCCCAGAGTTGAAAGAAGTCGAAAAATGCAGGGTCCGGTCGACTAAGCCGCTTTGTATTCACTTAGAGTCACTCCATATTCACCTCAGATTCACTCAGCAAAAAATATTTATATTAATACTAATTTCTCTACATTAAGATACATAATATTAATTGTAAGATTAAATTAAAAAACTTTTAAATCCTTCCGATCAAACCATACAGCTATTTCGTAAGTAAATTATTTTTGTAGAAATATGGAACTTTTTTCGCGCAGTGCACTCACATATGCATGCCAGTGTAGGTGGGTGTGTGGCCCACTTTGTAACCGCCAGATACTCAGAAACTTAGATACTTGCTAGGAGCAGTGGAGCGCTCCTCTTGTTTGGCTTCTGACCAAAAAACCACAAGGCATACGAAAAGCGATTTGAATTACAAAAAATGCGCCAACAAGCGAATCCACACGAAGATAACCGCGATACTAGCTTCTGAACCAAAGGGAAAACTAACGCAAACAGCCAAATGGAAGGGGGCCTATGAAAAATTAACACAACCAGCCCACTGTGCTTAGCTTTTCTATTGACTAACTAGGCTGAAACGAAGCTTTTATGCAGTTTATTTAAAAGGAATGTTTTTAAGGGAGTTTTTGGGGAGTTTACAAAAGAACTGAGAACATAAAGATTTTTAAATGCTTTAGGAAAAAGATGAATTTAATTTGTACAGAAATTAATAAATATTTAAATTCGCTTATATTTAAAACGAATTTATTATTAATGTTTAAGTTGTATCGTGTTTACAACCATAGTTTGGCCAGTTTACTTTTTGTTTGCTTAAAATTTGCTTAAATACTTTGAATAAACTTTAGATAAATTAACTTTATTGCCATAGGGATTCTGTAGAATGTTCAGTTAAAAAAAAATGTTCCTTCAAATCCCCAAACCAATTGAAATGTGCTGATAGGATATCGGATTTGAAATCCGTTTTCTTCTTCCATTTAAGAAATTGCAACATTCGTGGAATTCCCCTTTCATCTGGGTCTTTATTGGCGAAGGAATTGCAAATCCATGGCTAATGCATATTCAGTCGTAATTGAGGGGGCTGAGAGCTGGTGGGTGGGCATTCGCCGAGAAGCCACAGCAGTGACAATAACCGTAACGCTGACGACCGACTTGGCCAAGTTGCCAGGCAACGCAGCTCCTCAAGGAGCTAACTGTAATTGTATCTATCGAGCGGTGGATGCAGTACAATCCACAATGGCAGCGGCGACGCCCCAAAAGCTAAAAACCGCAAAAACATCCAACGACAAAGGCGCCTCTGTGCACACAAACATCTAGTGCAGACAGTACAGCTTCAGTAAGGCGAACCAAAGTATTTTTATAATTTGAACTATCAAATTAAATTTATGAAACTAGTGTTTGTTAGAGTATAACTTAATATGCTACTATACTGATCCCAAAAAGGATTTTAAATATATTTACTATTCTCCGGTTTATAAATATTTCTAATTATAAATATAGTTATAGGGAAAACTTCCCAAAAGTGTCCAAAATATATATTTACTAAAAAGAAATTTCCGTTTTTTAGAGACCTCACTGTTCCCTGTGTATTTATATGAAGCACAGACGTAGATACAGTTACGATGCACTAAGTCGTGATGGAAACTGTGATTAAGAGCCGCCGGCGACTGAGGCGACACAGACCACAATGCGATAGGGATAGTAGGGGCTGCGGGGCGGGGTGATCGATAATGATCGCAGCCAGAGTGACATCGATTGAATTACACTCGGAGCGAATTCAGAGCATGGGCATTAGAGGCGTTAGAAGCCCCTCAGATCGACTGAATCGCATCTCCCGCCCGAGGAGTCGGCGCTTATTTATCGCGCCTGCAATCACCGCTGAAATTCATTTCGTTATCAGCGCTCCATCGACGCGCATCCCATCTCGTGATTCTCGATTCGAGTCCCGATCCGAAATTCCGATTCGGTATCTCCTCAAATGGAAAACATGTTATACCAAGAGTTCCGAATCCGAATCCTGTGTTGCAGTTTCGTTTTGTGACCGACACTAACGGGTAATTGTTCGGCCCCCAAAAGCCGCCCCGCAGGATTACTCGTTTTTGCGATCACAAATCCTGAAATTGCAGCAAAGAGCAGCAAAATCATGGAACCAGTGAACATACTACATATAGTTTATTGTGCGCGGAAAAGAGAACAATATTTGTAATTTACTTTAAAATAACCCAAAAGACTGTTGCATAAAAGTTTAAATATAATTAAACTGAATAAGAATGGTGTCCATTAAAAGTGAATATAAAAAGAGTTTTGTAAGGGTTTGTAAATTGATTGAATATGTTTAAAAGCGTCATCTCTTTATATATTTAGTAAATCTCATTACACAAAGTGTATTTTCAACACAACAGCCTTCATTTCAGACTGTCTGTGTGCTATTTGCACATTGCATTTTATTGATAAGGAAATTGAATGCCAGGCTGGTGAATATAATTTAATCTTGAATTGGTTACCCTGACGAGTTCAAGAGAGAGTTGTACATTATGTAATAGGTCGATAGAAATTGATTATAAGGCATTTGCGTTTCTTTGATTACCTTTTTCTTAAACTATATATTTTAATTTTAGTGGTGTATATTTAACTAGGTAACTGGATTTCCCAGATCCATCTCATTATTGACTTTCCCATTATTCCGGGCTGTGCAGTTGGTAGGGAAGAACAAATTACTAGCCGCCAAAGTTGGAAATGATTAATTCGTTCTAAGAATAAATTGGGTTCATTTTCTGGGAATTTCCGGCGGTCTAGGAGTCTGGAGAGGTGACGCGGTAGAGAAAAGTCCACCTGACTGCTTGATATGGAAATGGGAATTCGCGCTTGACAAGGCAGCGCATCAAAAAATAGTGTCCCAAATCGTGGCTTTATATTCCCCCAGCACACGCACTCGTTGAGACAGAGACAAGTGTCAATAGAAGGACATAAGCAGGGAAAGGGAAGAGAAAGGGAACACAAACATGTCAGGCAAACAACTTGTAACTTGTGTATCCACGAGATACATTTACATTTCCCATAACAACTAGCGACGTTTATGCGAGGCTCGTTTGGCATTCAGCCTCAGTTTCTGTTTTCCCCCAGTTGAAAGCTTCACTTTTCCCATTTTCCACACAAAAAGAATATTTGGAATGTCGGCTAGAATTTGATTTCCTCATTAACAAAAAGTTTCCGGTACCATAAGGTTTCGAACGAACAAAAGCCAAAATCGTATATTTTTATACTTTTCTGTGAACTTTTTTGTTGGTTTCCTGCCAGTTTCTGTTTGCAGGACTGGGACAACTCACAATTCCATGTTTATTGGCAGCTCATGGCTCTTGTCATGGCTTTCATTCGCCTCCTTTGGCGTGGTAACGATTTTTATTGATTTTTCGGGTTATTTCACACAAACATGTGGGAAGTTATGCTCACATAACGGTTAGCATTTGTTTATGAC